AAAAAAACCGACTATGACTTCCATCACTTAGGGGATGGGGTGGGGGGTCATCACTCAACAAGGTGATGCGCCGTCGCAACAAAACTGAAATACTGTTCAAAGCGACTTTACCTCAAACGTATATAGACAGGTGACTTGCGACCCGTGAGTCTAGTCAGTAAGTCACAGACCAACACAATGAGCTGATAAATGACTTTTTATTTACATATCCATCATAAGCTCAGAAAAATTTAACAATTATGCTAAGTCGACATGTGAATTCGACCCGTGAAGATCCGGGTTTATGATTTGATCTTCAGCAACCCATGCTTGTCGTAAGAGGCGACTAACGGCAGGTGGTCAGGTTTGCTGACTTGGTCGATACTCATGCCGTGGATCACTGGATTGTCTGGTCCATATTCGATTTATTTATAGACCGTCGCCATATATTCAAGTGCGGCTTGAAACAACAAACATTAGTGAATTATTTACATCCAAATTACCCAGTTCATATATAGAACTCTTGCAAGTTTTGACAATCAAACATAACAACATCGAAAAAAATTTTAAATATGTTATTGACACAATTATAACACAATTGTTCTGTCTAGAAACAGCTTCATTCAGTGTTTGGAACAATGTCCTCCACGGTTCTGAAATGACATATAAATAAACTAAAGCTATATTCTGTAGGATTTCACGATGTACTCATTTCAGCCTGAGGGCCAGTGAGGGGTGTAATTCATTATGTGTTTCATGAATCACTTTATGATCCACTTTAGCTTCTTCCTTTTCTTGGTTTGGGGATGGGGGTAGACTGAACGATGGTCGGTGGAGGGGGTCATATCTAAACCGACTACCCAGCCAATTTCGCTCAGTCCTATACCCCTGAACCTACAATGTTTAGCCAACAGTGTTTAGCCAAAGGCAATTCTTACTAATTTAGCTTCTTTCCAATATCACTTGGTTCTGGAATCTGGGTGGTGAGGTAGCCCAATAGTGAAGCATTCGCCGTAATACTGGGGTCTGTTCCTCACACGAGTAAACTGATGTGCCCATGAGAATGCTGAATGTTACCGAAAGCGGCTTAAAACCAAATTCACCCAGTAATTTCTATTGAAGACAGGGATAAGAAACGAATTTGCAAGAAAATTATTTCCAGTGTTTTCGATGTTGTACATTTGTGTCAATAGAGGTAAATGTATTTTTTTCAAAGATGAGATAAGATACCTACTATCGGTTGTGTATTATGGAGATTTGTTTTTTATTGTTGAGAAGTTTCGAATTAAAATGTATTAAATAAAAAACAAAAACGGGGAGATATATTCTTCGATTGCTGACTAAGCTCAAGTCAGTTTATATTTTTTATATACTATCACTTATCAGAAAATAATCACAAACTTTCAGTAATTATTCTTGAAGCTAAGTAAAAATATTGAATTTTCTGTCAACTGTATATATATATTTGTCTTTAGAGGACACTAGAAAATTGAAATAACTAACTGGGATAAAGATAAAGTCATCAGAAACATGTTCCCCAATTTAATGCAAAAATATTATCATTTATACAGTTTTAGCTATCTCATCTTCGGCCATTATGCGTGACCTTTTACACTCGTGACGTGACTCAGATCACCATAATGCGTTTATTTATATATTTTAATATTTCTTTTCGATACGAATTTCTTGCCAGTACTGCTCTCTCACACATGCCAATTGATTTTACATTGTGGGAATTTGAACCAGAAGTATACATCTATACTTGAAGCAACCGTTTGTAGATGGTTTCGTTTCATGTCACAGCTCGGATATCATAAACAAAAACACTTTGATAATAATGTTTTGAAAACTTCCACTTGCCTTTCCTGCCACAACATTGTAATTATCCATTGTGGAGCAGAAACTGGTACTCACTATCCAACAAGTTTGCAGCCGATCAAATGATGAGCGCCCTCTAAGTAAGGGCAGGTAACTCTAATAACAGAAACATGCGGACTGATACATTGACGCCTTATTGGTAAATGCTGTGATTGTTCAAGTCATTAAGGCATGATGCTGTCTCAACTTGGTTGAAAATATGAAAGATTGTGTTTATGCTGTCTGAAGTTTGTAAACCGACCAAGTCGCCACCATTTCGAAAAATGTATTCCAGGTTTTCTGTACTTAAAGTTTGTGGATGCCATTATCCAGTTTTGGAATATCATACACGCTCATGGATCCTTTTGCTCACATGTCATGGGTACGATTGAATTTTTATTGTCAGTTCTTTTACGTTCTTGAAAAGGAAATTATCATTTTAAATATTTTCTTCTAAATTGTTTCCATGAAATATAACGTTGAGAATTTAACTGACGTGAAAACGCTGATTCACCCTTAAAGCTGTTCAGTGTGCTTAATGACATTTGCTGTGATAAACGATGATTTTTCGGACGTTCTTAACATACCATACTGGCAACTGCTAGATGTCGTTTGGCAAATAATGGTAGCAAGCAAACTTGTTGACGGAAAGCGTATAGCAAACCTGCCTTGGGGACAGATTTTTCAAAATTCCTTCCAGTCAAAAATATATACTGTTTGTTAGTTGGCCATGAGAATTACAGCATGATGGTATGACTGCATGTTGTTTTACGCATTGCGATACTATACGAGTGGAATGTCAAATGCGTTTCTGTACATTGACAATATCAAGTTTTCCGACGTCCGACACAATCGCAAAATGATAACTGAAGTAGGAAAAAGCAGGGACAAAGTATTTGCTTCGTTACAGCAGTGTGTTCGACACATCAATAATCGTTCCAGTGGTGTTTATCATGTATGGTGTTCGACACATCAATAGTCGACCCAGTGGCGTTTATCATAAATGATGTTCGACACATCAATAGTCGACCCAGTGATGGTTATTATAATGTTGTTCGACACATCAATAGTCGACCCAGTGGTATTTATCATAAATGATGTTCGGCACATCAATAGTCGACCCAGTGGTGTTTATCATAAATGATGTTCGACATATCAATAGTCGACCCAGTGGTGTTTATCATAAATGATGTTCGACATATCAATAGTCGACCCAGTGGTATTTATCATAAATGATGTTCGACACATCAATAGTCGACCCAGTGGTGTTTATCAATATGATGCTCGACACATCAATAGTCGACCCAGTGGTGTTTATCATAATGATGCTCGACACATCAATAGTCGACCCAGTGGTCTTCATCATAAATGTTGTTCGACACATCAAAAGTCGACCCAGTGGTGTTTATCATAAATGTTTCTGTACTATTATTCTCCAAAAGCAATAGCACAGTTTGTTAGCAATGTACTCTCTTATTTTCATATTTTTGGTATCTCAGTGACATTTTTTGGATTTAAGGATTTCATGTCAATTTCTTGCACTTTGTGTGCACCCTAACGACAAGAGAAAAAATATTCTAGGCTATATGTATATGAATGACATATCGTAAAGTGTTACCTTTTAAATGAGTTATCATTTGTTCTCGGTGTAGAGTTGCTTTCCTTTTGCGAGCCAGGAACGTATAACCGAAGGTTTGAATCCAAGATTCTGCCTAATAATGTTCATTGATTTGTCAACTTAACGCCTTTTCTCCTAGGTTTATCACTTCTCACGTTGTTCCCATTATAAGCTCGTGTTCATGATATAGCTGCACTGTTCAAAACGGCACTGAAACCAAACGTCCTTGAATCATTTGATAACTTATTAGTCTGATTTATGCAAAATCGACAACAAACCCTATGATTTATGCAAAATTGACAACAAACCCTATGATCTATCACTTCTGATGTTTTAGTCAACATTTTGCTCGGGACCATGGCGGTATAAAAAAAACCAGTCATAATAAAAGACATTTGTAAAGAATGAGCAGTTGTGTATTGCTTCATATGCTGTGTATAATGACAGGTCCATCCGTATCAGAAAACTCAATTCGATTCTGTTTTGATTTGTAGAATGACAGGTCCATCTGTATTAGAAAACTCAATTCGATACGTTTTTGCTTTCTAACATGACAGGTCCATCTGTATCAGAAAACTTAATTCGATGCTCTTTTGCTTTCTAGCATGATCCATCTGCATTAGAAAACTCAATTCGATACTTTTTGCTTTCTAGAATGACAGGTCCACCTGTATTAGAAAATTCAATTCAATACTTTTTTGCTTTCTAGAATCACAGGCAAATCTGTATTAGAAATCTCAATTCGATACTTTTTTCCTTATAGAATGACAGGTCCATCTGTATCAGAAAACCCAATTCGATACTATTCTGCTTTGTAAAATGACATGCTCATGTGTATCAGAAAACTCAATTCGATACTCTTTTGCTTTGTAGAATGACAGGTCCATCTGTATCAGAAAACTCAATCCATGCTGTTCTCTGGGTTGAAATCATAGGTAGCTCCCTGCACCTTGAAACTTGGAGACATACCGTCATTAGTACCTGTACTTTGATTGCATACCCTAAACCTTCCATAGCAATACAAGCGTACTCTCATATTTCCGTTTTGCATAGCTGAAAGATGCGACAAATCTCTCAAAGGTGTCCCAAATGAGGTCCAAACGCACGTTCTGAATTTACCATACCAAGGCGGTAATAAACTGATTAGAGTGATAACGAGCTTTCAGTAGCAGCACCAAGCAGTAACTCTCCGTCCTAATGGTAGTAGATCTTTCTTGGCACGGCCCACGTATAAGGCGCCGGATCTCACTGTAGGCTTAGTATACCTGCGGGTTTCCAGTGACTAATGATCGAACAATCAATCACTCGTTGGCTCCTGTCCTTAGGTGTCCTGCTCTTCTAGCATCATGCCCTTGCAAGCGAGTTCCACCAAAGTGCCAAATGCTTCATACCTGAATCATTTCGGTTCTTCTTCCCACATTAGACCAGCACACCGTGATACAACGGGCAAATGCAGTTCAAAACGTTTACTAAATGACCACATAATGGCTACCCTCGAAGACTCGAACGTTGAACTCTTGTCCTGACATTTGTGCTTCCCTTTCAGATGGAGAACATTGAGGTCTTCCTGAAGGGGGCAGAGGCATTCGGAGTTCCATCGAACAGTCTCTTCCAGACAAACGACTTGTATGAAGGTCGCAACATGGCCATGGTTATCTCAACAGTTCTTCAAGTTGGCACCGAGGTGAGCTACAATAGATGCCACCGAGCAATTGGATTTGGCACTGCAATGTTTGGGCCAATCTTCCCCAAACAGATATCGGATTGTCCACCAAAGAGTAATGTCTTCTTGCAGGTCATGGGATCAATGGTTACTACTATCTGAAATACCTAATGTCACTATATGTAATTACTAATGTTTGTGTGTGTGTGTTTTTCCTGCCTTCATTGCTTGCTCCTCATGAAGATTCGGGCTAGATCTTCAGCAACCCATGTTTGTCAAAGGAGGCTACAACAGGATCGGTTGTCAGGCTCGCTGACATGGTTGATGTCATTTTCATGTCCAGTTGCATGGACTGATGCACGCGTCTGATTGTGGCCAGATTTTTTACTTATGACTTCTGTCATGCAGCTGAAACATTGCTGGATGTGATGAACAATCAAGCACATCATAAGTTGCTGTGTAGTGATTTAATTGAAATGATGTGAAGTGGTAAGTCCAACTCATGCATCATTATAAATGTACGATGTTTTTCAACATTCTCATGTTGCTGTTTCAGGCTCAGAGATGTCAATACAACGGACCTGCTTGTGGACCCAAGCCATCTGAGAAAATCGAGTACCACTTCACTGAAGAACAGCTGAAGGCAGGACAGGCCATCATCGGTCTTCAGGCTGGCACAAACAAGTGCGCCTCCCAGTCTGGCATGTCCATGGGTGCTGGTCGTCACATTGCTGACATCAAGGTGGACGACATGGACAAGAGTAGCCAGGGCATGATCGGTCTTCAGGCAGGCACCAACAAGTGCGCCTCTCAGTCTGGTATGTCCATGGGTGCTGTTCGTCACATTGCTGACATCAGAGCTGATGACATGTCAAAGGAAGGCCAGACCATGATCGGCCTTCAAGCTGGTAGCAACAAACATGCTTCACAAGCTGGTATGTCCATGGGTTCCGTTCGTCACATTGCTGACATCAGAGCTGATGACATGTCCCGAGAAGGCCAGACCATGATCGGCCTTCAAGCTGGTAGCAACAAAGGTGCTTCACAATCTGGTATGGCCATGGGTGCTGTTCGTCACATTGCTGACATCAGAGCTGATGACATGTCACGAGAAGGCCAGACCATGATCGGCCTTCAAGCTGGTAGCAACAAAGGTGCTTCACAATCTGGTATGGCCATGGGTTCAGTTCGTCATATTGCTGACATTAGAGCTGATGGCATGTCAAAGGAAGGACAAACCATGATTGGTCTTCAAGCAGGAAGCAACAAAGGAGCTTCCCAGTCAGGAATGTCCATGGGCGGACAGAGGCACGTGGCTGATATTGCTGTTGATGACATGTCCCAGGCTTCCAAGGCTACAATTAACCTGCAGTACGGTTCAACAAAGGGAGCTAACCAGCAGGGAATGTCCTATGGCGGACGCCGTGACATTACTAAGTAATCTCCCTTGCTCTGAGGACTTTGAAAGGTTAACTGCATTACGACAGAGAATGAATTCTATACGGAATAACTAACAACGCCATCGAACGAAACTACAGAGTGGTTAGGCTACGTTTTGCTTTTCGACAAATTATGTTGAACTTAATTTTTAGAAATATATAGCAAGCTATTCCTTTGTAAATGCGCCGTTATTATCCCAATGCTCAATAGATCAAGTGACAAGTTTGTACATAAAATTATAATGCTGTAAATGTTAGCGAAAAACTGCATCAATGGAATGATGGGATACGATCTTCCTCAGCGTTTCTTTTCCTCGGTGGTTCTCCTGTAGCACACAGCACTCTATTCCCGTCCACAACTGTATTATACACACTTGTCTCCCTTTAAAACAGGACTGTTGGATTGTTGCTATGTGCTCATCCGGGTCCTTCAATGATGACGTCACCGCCATTGTTGTTCATCTATGTCAGTGCATATTTAATTTATTTGTTTCACGGAAAATGGCAAAGATGAGACATCATTGCACTCCAAATGCTGTCATCTTACTGAAGATTTTGAAAATAAAACAACGTCTGAAAAAAAATCTTTATAGATGTTACACGTGGTTCAGATGAATTTTGTGATTGAATAAATTAATTGTTCATTCCTTTCCTTGTTATGCGTTTTATATCGGAAGAAAGGGCGTTGAGTTGATGTAAACTGGTGTTGAATGTCGTGTTCGAGTGTACTTCTCTTACACAGTGACGTCCGTGCATGTGTGCGTATGTGTAAATGTCTGGATGCTAATAGTTTTCCGGATATAGGCCGTTTTAAAAATGATAATCCCCTTAGATACCATGATATATACGCTCTATAAATAGATTCGCAAGTTTAATATTGGCTTGGAGCAGACACGCACATGTCTTCCCTTTAATGCCGAGCCAGGTTTCATTTTTTCTGTCTTCTAGTATGACGCGGTCATGGCTGAAACTATTAACTTTCTTGTGACTTGTCTGACACCACTGTGCAATGGAGGATTGTTTTAGGAATGTAAATTGGCTCATAAGCTAATGAAAATTATACAATGTTACCACATATCTGTGTCACATTATGTCACATGAGCAATATGTTCCTACATATCTGTGTCACATCAACACATGAGCAAGATGTTCCTACATATCTGTGTCACATCAACACATGAGCAAGATGTTCCTACATACCTGTGTCACATCAATACATGAGCAATATGTTCCTACACCTGTCTGTCAGAACAGGCAAGACGTTCCTACACCTGTCTGTCAGAACGGGCAAGATGTTCCTACACCTGTCTGTCAGAACAGGCAAGAAGTTCCTACACCTGTCTGTCAGAACAGGCAAGATGTTCCAACAACTGTCTGTCAGAACAGGCAAGATGTTCCTACAACTGTCTGTCAGAACAGGCAAGATGTTCCTACACCTGTCTGTCAGAACAGGCAAGAAGTTCCTACACCTGTCTGTCAGAACAGGCAAGATGTTCCTACATGGCGCAGTCTCGGTGTAGATATGTCCAGTTAGTTTGCCCCGTTTCACGACTGCGTTTGTGTACCTCAAGGTAGCCGACGCCTTGCAAGTTACATGATTCATCATTACTATACGTATCTGCACTCACGCACAAGAAATTCTTCTCAAACACACACTCCTTCACACATTCTTGCATGGCCGTGTTTTTCTTGGCTCTTAAATTGTGTTCAGTTATCCCAAGTCCTGGGTAGGACGACATGCTGTTCCCGTACCTCGCGCAATCTGAAATAAAATAAGTCCAGTTTTAAAAAACTTCTATACGAGCGACACGAGTAACGGATCCTTCCGCCCTACAAAACGGTTGTTCTTACTAAGTAAGAACGATACGAAAAGAATACAAAATTTGAGTTGAATTTGACTGGCTGACTGACTGGGTTTTGGTTTTACGCCGCTTTTAGCAATATTCCAGCAACGTCACGGAGGGGGACACCAGAAATGGGCTTCACATATTGTACCCATGTGGGGATTCGAACCCGGGTCTTCGGCGTGACGAGCCAACGCTTTAACCACTAGACTACCCGACCGTCCTGGAGTTGAATTTGAAAGACTGAGGAAATGTGAGAGTGTGGCGGAAGGAGGAGATGGCGTGAGGGTGAAAAATGCTGGAGATGGGGTGAAGGTGAAAAATGGAGGAAATGAGATGAGAGTCGGATGAGGGTAAAACATGGAGGAGATGGGATGGGGGTGAAAGATGGAGGAGACGGGATGAGGGCGGAAGATGGAAGAATTCGGGATCAGGGCGGAAGATGGAGGAGACGGGATGAGGGTGAAAAATGGAGGAGATGGGGTGAGGGTGAAAGATGGAGGAGATGGAATGAGGGTGAAATTTGAAGGGGATGGGATTAGTGTGACGGATGGTAGAGATGGAATGTGTGTGACGGATGGTAGAGATGGAATGTGTGTGACGGATGGTAGAGATGGAATGTGTGCGACGGATGGTGGAGATGGAATGTGTGTGACGGATGGTAGAGATGGAATGTGTGTGACGGATGGTAGAGATGGAATGTGTGTGACGGATGGTAGAGATGGAATGTGTGTGACGGATGGTAGAGATGGAATGTGTGTGACGGATGGTAGAGATGGAATGTGTGTGACGGATGGTAGAGATGGAATGTGTGTGACGGATGGTAGAGATGGAATGTGTGTGACGGATGGTAGAGATGGAATGTGTGTGACGGATGGTAGAGATGGAATGTGTGTGACGGATGGAGGCGATGGGATGAGATGAGGGATGAGCGAAGGTGACAATAATCATTATTGTTGATTTTTGTGTATTTCCCACTGAAAACAACATTAGTCTTAAAACTTAATCCTGGGAATGGTGAGTATACTTATTGGGATTTTCGTTCAAATCTGTAGAGACAGATTCTTCTGTGACATGAGGAGGAAACGTACGTCGGAGGCAGGTGTCGTCACCGGGGTTGAAGCTGTAGCCGGGCACGCAGCGACACGTGCCGTAGTAACACACTGACTTCATGACACCACAGTCGCCGTCTCCAGCACAGTCAGCTCCTATGTGACCTGTATAAGACAAACACGTCAGCTCGAGCGTTATTCTATAAACCTGAAGTTTCTCATAGACCTACGTTAGCTTTCTATTGATGCAGTAAAAGACTTATTATCGACTTGCTGAAACTACGAGGCAAACACCTTCCAAACAGAGAACAATTGCCATATATGGAATGTACAGCCGTACATCGAAACTGTAGCACGCGGTGTTGTCGATGTTTGATGAACTGGTGTCAATCACCAAACGTTTAAAGGTTATTCGTAAACAGCGCTCCAAGGGACTTAACTCTAAGGGGTTCGCTTGAAATAACGTTCGGTCGGTAGAGGGCGCGAGAGTTGAGTTGATTTAATGCAACGTTGCATTAATTCATTCAAACTTTCCAAGTCAATGTTGTAACGTAATTTTTTGGAATATATTATATGGTAGCTTCCCTGAGGGCTGACAATTTGTACTGTTGATCGAAATGGCTATTTATTTTTAGAGAAGTGTGGTCCGCTTTTGTATTACGTATACGATGAATGACGCTTTGCGAATGGTCCCTCAGCACAATTTTAAAAGAATACCTCGCAGAAAATGAACAAGACATAAATTTCGAAGGATTTTACAGGTGACTAACACAAAACACGAAGGCAGTTCATACACTGCAACACAGAGGGTACATTAACCTCGTGATATGGCCACAACTTATATCATCTTATCTTACATATAAAACACTGTAAAACTCCAGCGGATTCACAATTCAGCCGCCCTTGTTGTTGTTCGTGCACCACGCTACCAAACTGTAACACCTATCCTCCAAATTCTTCACTGGCTTCCTGTATCAAGCAGAATTCAAACTTCTTCGTACACACAGCTGCATCTATGAAAACAAGTTTTCTCAATATCTTAAAAGCCTCGTTCATCTCCATGTTCCAAGCCGATTGCTCCGCTTGTCAACCTCCCTACTGCTTATACGGGCTCACGTCAAAACAGCCATGGGATCAAGAGCTTTCTCTGCTGCAGCCCCCTATCTCTGGAACATTCTACCACTCGCCCTAAAAGAAATAGAATCTGCTGACGCTTTCAAAACTCCCCTCAAAACTCATCTTTACAAACTTTCTTTTCCATAGACATTGTCTACAATCGTCTCGCTTTATAGCGCCATTGAGCAATATCGTTTGGAAATAGACGCTCTATAACTCAATTATTATTATCATTATTACCCGCTATTGAGGGGCGTAACTAGTCAAAATGGTCAAAATATACCCGCGGTCCAAGCAACGGCCTATTTGCCTAACTCTGGCATTACTTACTTCTCACAGGGTTATAGGGTTCGCATCATATTTGAGGTTTATAGGTTCACTCAATTGTGAGTTTAGAAGTAAAGAAATAGAAACGATGGACGCTAGAGCATTCGCATTCTGAGGAAGATATTACAGTAAAACGTTCTAACTGATCCAAAATGCCACACACAAAAGCGAATAATGCGTCAACATTGAGCTTGTCATTTTGAAATGACAGCATCAAACAACAAACAAACAACTGCTGTTCAAGGCTGTTAGATCTTATTCACCCACACTCTTAATTTTTATACTACAAAGGCTAAATGGCCATACACAAGTCAAGTCTCCCTTAATCTCACACTACAAAGGCTTAAAGACCATACACAAGTCAAGTCTCCCTTAATCTCACACTACAAAGGCTTAAAGACCATACACAAGACAAGTCTCCCTTAATCTCACACTACAAAGGCTTTAAGACCATACACAAGACAAGTCTCCCTTAATCTCACACTACAAAGGCTTTAAGACCATACACAAGACAAGTCTCCCTTAATCTCACACTACAAAGGCTTTAAGACCATACACAAGACAAGTCACACTTAATCCCACACTACAAAGGCTTAAAGAACATATAGAAGACAAGCCTCACTAATCCCACACTACAAAGCCTGAATGGCCATACAGATGACAAGTCATACTTAATCCCACACTACAAAGGCTCAATGGCCATACACAACACAAGTCTCACTTAATCCCACACTACAAAGGCTTAAAGACTATACACAAGACAAGTCTTACCTTTCATTTTCCTGAAGTGTTCAGAGCTGAGGCACAAACTGGTTCCAGGGCTAATTGCACCTGCGTACATGTGACATGTATTACCATGGTAGGTTAAAGCCCAACACCAGTGAAATCTTGAACAGAAGACACAACAGGCCGTTACACTATCTACAGGCAAGCTTCTCGCTGATGTTTGGCGTACGCCTGCCATGTCCAGCCGTTTAAAGTTATCAGCGATGTTGAAACTATCACATAGAGCTTCAGCGACTGAGAGAATCACCATCCACGCCTTCATGATGTTCATCTTAAACTTGCCAAGCCACGAACGAACGCCAATTAATCTGTCTTCTGTTCCAGCTAGACTGAAGTTTATGTACATTTTTTGGACATTTTTATCATCTTCAGTTCCAGTAGCGTCGACCGGGAATGATATCTGTCTGAGACGTTCTGGAATGTGAAAGTTTTTAAATGAACTGAAAGCAAACGGGAACGGGATTTTAGACCTTGATACTTTTATCGATTTTCATTTTTATCTCGGAATGAAAGTGATGGTAGCAGTGAAATATCAGGACAAACGGTATTTAGATAATGTTATTTTCCAATGAAGCCGACATAACAAAGTGATTCGTGGGCTTAATTAGCAACAGAAAATTCCAGGACAAAAATCGATACTAACGGCAGAGTTAATCTTACTACTAAATATTATCAGTATTTATGAATAGCTGTCAAATAAACTAGCGCTCAAAAGAAAGTATACAGTGTGCTTGAACTTGGAAAGAAAAGAAAAACATTTATAAATGAACATCTGTTTAATTTCAATAGAGTATTCAATTCTACAGGAAAAGTACACAGTTTCATTTCATACAAAGTCGGACGTACAGTTTGGCTGACACTGAAAGACACGTGGTATCATAGTCTGAACTTGTACACAAATCAACAAGGTGGGATTTTATTCTGCAAAATATCATCAAATGTCGAATCAATAGTGAGTGTGACCACCAGTGGCTTCAATACATGCCAAAACACATTGATGACGTAAGACGTGATCCGTTGCCATTCCTGTAGGACACATTGTTCCAGTTGCTGAGGTGGCGCTGATAGTCTTCTGATTTGTCGATCTATCAGTTCACTATTTGTTATGAGGGAGGAGTGCAGAGAAAGGGACAACCAGGTGTTAGAGAAGCACGTGCACAAGTGCCCACCAAGTTAATGATTCATTAACCTGTGCTGTGCCATCTCCATCCTTTCTCGCACATCTGGCTGTCCCTTTCTTTGCACTCCTCCCTCGTGCAAAATAGTGAACTGTGTCAATATTTTAATGATAGTTTGTTCAACAACTTTTTTAATTTTAGGACATAAATTCTGCACACAAATCACAGAGTTGGTCTGATGTTTTGATTATGATCAGCGTTGAGTGTTATATGTTTATTAGTTTTCGAGTAAGATTGCAATTCATCGGTCCGCTTTTGAGCCAAACGCACTATACTGAATAGGTTCGTTCATTTTAAAACCCTTTTGGTGACACTGGAGGTACAATTTTTATCTTATGGTGGTCACGAAGATTACATCCTACAAAAAACCTCTGTTACTTTAAACCTGTGAAGCCTCATGGTGAGAAATTGGCTGAAATTTAGTGGCCATGAGACTGATATTGTATTGTCCCAACATAAAACTTTAAATAAGGATTACTATCTATCTACTGTCGACGTGTTCGAATACCATGTTTTCTTACTGTAGTTGCTGTCGCGGTCACAAAACGACTTCTCAGATGAATTGTCATCACTGGGCGTTGTCACCCGTGGTCGACCACACCTAGGCCTGTCTGTCTCATGACAGTTGCACGGGTGGGCAATTCGGATAGCTCTCAATTGGAAAAATAAGGATACCGAAACAGGTGATGACGTCAGTATCGTGTGTTGGCATCACCAACCAGGACGCCAGACTGAAGACGTCTTCTCACTGAATGCTGTATCTGTCTTTGAGGTGTCTCATACACTTCTTCCCGTGAAGATCCGGGCTAGAATTGATCTTCAGTAACCCATGCTTGTCGGAAGAGGCGAAAAACGGGATCGGGTGGTCAGACTCGCTGACTGGGTTGACACATGTCATCATATCCCAATTGCACAGATCGATGCTCATGCTGTTGATCACTGGATTGTCTGGTCCAGACTCGATTATTTACAAACAGCCGGCATGTAGCTGGAATATTGCTGAGTGCGCCGTAAAACTAAACGCACTCACTCACTGATCACAAGATTAATATAGTCGGCCACCATTGCTCATTTTAACCTCTTAAATGGCGGTGGGGAAGACTAGTGGTTAAAACGTTCGCTCGTCACGCCGAAGACCTGGGTTCGATTCCCCACAAGGGTACAGCTCGTCAAACCCATTTCTGGTGTCCCCCGCCGTGATATTGCTGGAATATTGCTAAAAGCGGCATAAAACCCAACTCACTTACTCAAATAGCCGCTTAATCAGAAGTATCTGAAAGTAGGGTATGAAAATCCAAACTATCTCAGGAAACAAATAAAGCTGTCAGCACCTCAAAACCAGACGTAAACATTGTTAGAACGAGAACTGAGAGGGGATGAACCATTTTCCCTGAAGCATTTAAAACAAGCATTGGTCAGGTGGAAGTCAGTGTACTGTGTTTACGTCATCTGTGCATGTACAATTGCCAATGGTATCTGACAAGCACTACGAAACTCGTAGTAGGGCGATATTCAGTCCCATTTATCTTATACTATGCAACAAACCTTCCCGAATTACTTTCCAGCCATCCTCGATAATCTCCAGGGCATACGTTACGATAACTCTCCACTGTACCCTGGATGCATCCACGGCTTGGGGCGATGATTTTATTACCTCCCTTGGCAAGTGGCACTCCCTTACCCACAGTGGCACTCAGACACAGTATACTAACTCCAAGGCAAACAGCAATAGTTTAATCCCCTGAGTGCCAGGTAGGAAGAAGTAACCGAGTCCTCTATATTAATATTATTATAGGATATTTATATAGCGCACATATTCACGCACAAGTGGATGCTCAAGGCGCTAGTATTTTTCCCTCGATCATTGGATGTCAATTTCAACAGCACATCACATTATCAATCTCAACTTCCTGGGGAGTATACAACTCTTGCAGCCACTAGGCGCACCGAGTTATTGTGGCTTTCTCATCCTAACGAGGTACCCATTCACAGCTGAGTGAACTGGGACACATAGTCACGGTACTTTGTCCATGTTCACTGCACATTGCTGTACCCGCAATTAGGTGTTTGCACGTATTCATGTGGCCACCATCTGGTCATATACCAACGGATTCGTGGGTTCTTTTAAGTGCACAGGGTTGTGTACTGTACACTAGGGGTTGTGACAACACTGAGAGTGTCTGCACACAGAGTTGACTCCAAGGTTTTTACACCGGGTCACAGGTGGGCTCGATCCCGACACCTCAACCTCGCTGGATCACTAGCCTGGCGCCTTAGCCAGCTCGCCCACCGCGCCTCTATATAACCTTGTCATCCTGGTCCAGTGTCCCTACCACATATTTTACCATTTTTCTTCAGTGTTTGCCTTGATGTAGCTGGAATTGCACCACATCCTGCTGTCAAGAATATATCAGTGAGTGAGTGAGTGAGTATGGTTTTTCGCCGCTTTTAGCAATATTCCAGCAATATCACGGCAGGGGACACCAGAAATGGGGTTCGCACATTGCACCCATGTGGGGAATCGAACCCGGGTCTTCAGCATGGTGAGCAGACGCTTTAACCATTAGGCTACCCCACCGCCCCCAAGAATATATCAAAACAGGTAGGTGGGTGAGTATAGTTTTACGCCGCTTTTAGCAACATTCCAGCAAATATCACGTCAGGGGGAGACCAGATATGGGCTCCACACATTGTACTCATGTGGGAAATTGAACCCAGGTCTTCGTTTATTTACAAACCAAATGCTTTACTCACTAGACTACTCCACAGCCCCTATCAAAACAGGACTACCAGAGTGATAAAGGCAAGATAATGTTATTCACAGAGTCTACATAAAAGTCCAGCCAATTATACTGGAAAACTGCTGCCTTGACCTGTTGCTGAGACTGGCCGGAGCCTACATGGACGGAATACTGAGACTCATCTCTTGTTTCACCTCTGGGCAAAAGAAGATTGCTGAAGGAGGTCATCAATTTGTCTGAAACAAAAGGAAACTTTCATCATTCAAACATAAGTTTTTGCTTTCATAAAAATATGTTGATTTCACTTTCTGTGAAATTCCACATCGCCAGGTGGATATATTTTTGGCCAGAGACTGCCTAGTACACCTCTGGCACTCTTCAAACAACACGTCGTAGTGGCATACCGGCAGACACATCCTTGTACCTGGCTTTCCTGCTGCTGACCCGTGAAGATCCGGGGTAGAATAGGTCTTCAGCAACCCATTCATGTCATAAATGGCGACTATGCTTGTCATAAAAGGCGACTATCGGGATTGGGTGGTCAGGCTCGCTGACTGGGTTGACACATGTCATCGGTTCCCAATTGCGCAGATCGATGCTCATGCTGTTGATCACTGGATTGTCTGGTCCAGACTCGATTATTTACAGACCGCCGCCATATAGCTGGAATATTGCTGAGTGCGGCGTAAAACTAAACTCACTCACTCACTCACTTTCCTGCTGCTAATTTGTCCATGCTCTTCCCGATGTCTGTCACATTTCCCCTGCTTATGTATCCTGCCTACTTTTAAAGGCAGATGGACGACTAGCAATCTGCTTAGCTGGTCACATTTTGATGAGCTTTACATCTCTAGTGTTTAGTCTGCCAGTGTACACAACACATATTGTCACATCAGTCAACACACATGATCACAGGTTCCCATATAGTGGTATAGTCTGTTTGCAGTGAAAGCGATGCCGATGAATTTCGGCTTTAAATAAAAAGAAAATCAAATTAAGTGGCTTCACACATTGTACCCATGTGGGGATTCGAACCGGGTCTTAGTGTGGCCGAGCCAACGCTTTAACCACTAGACTACCCCATCGCCCCGAGCAGTAAGGATAGTTTAGTTTGAGAAAAGAGGCTACCTGTGTTTGAGCTCTGAGGATACCTGAGTTTATGAATTAACGCTACCTGAGTTTGATCTCGTACTCTGCTCTCTGCTGTCGAAGCATCTGCAGTAGATGGTCATCTGGGAAGTCCCCATCGGACTCATACTCTTCATCTGAAAAAAAACCCAAAATACATTAATTGGAACACTCTTTCTTGAAACAGAATGCCTCAAGACCTCTTCATAATATATTTGACATGATTGTTTAAGCTACAGCACAATAGAATGAGATTCTGTAACTCAGTTCATGAATGCTTAGTTTCTCTTTCGACCACAGCAACATAAGAGGAAGAAGACTGACTGACTGACTGACTGACTGAGTTTGGTTTTACGCCGCTTTTAGCAATATTCCAGCAACATCATGGTGGGGGACACCAGAAAAAGGCTTCACACATTGTACCCATGTGGGGATTCGAACCCGGGTCTTCGTCGTGACGAGCCAACGCTTTAACCATTAGGCTACCACACCGCCCAGAGGAAGAAGTAATTGTTATCCAAAGAGAGTTGTTATCCATAAAATTTGGCATTATAGAACATAAGAGTAATGCCTTGATTGGACATATTCAATGCTATAAATAGACTTCACACCAGTCAATATATAACATGTGATTGTGTCAATAACAGACAGAGTAATGGTAATAAATCCCTAATCTTTATAGCTAGCTTTTAAAATATGTTGTGGTGATATTTGTTCACAGACACATATCTGTTACCTATGATACCTTCTCTGGACCAGATTCTACAAAGTGATTTGGGGCTACGACAGCCAGATTTGAGAAAGTACTGAAAAATGGACTTTCTTCATGGTGTAAGCACAAAGATTTCTTTCTGGAACAAGTGCCAGCGATTTAATTTTGCAAGGACATTGTTTATCATATAGCAGCCATAGGTAGGTATTTCATTTCCAGAGAACCCCCCAACATATCAGAGGATATTGTAATGCAATCATTTGATTAACAGTGACATACTCTGGTTTGGGCACAGATATAAGCAGCCCCTTTCATATTTTTGGAGAGAAATTATTTGAAAAACTTTGAAATTTGGCCCAGGTTGTGCATCCTAAAGTCTGACACATTGCATAAATGGGCATCTCTGAATCTTACTTGTGTCATCTTGACTGGCTGGAACTGGTTCCTTGACCCCTGTCTGACCTTCACCTTGTGTTGTTTGTTTGGTCGGAGCTTCCAAATCAGGCAGGTCAGCCATGGGAGGAACTTCGGACCTGGGTGGGTCAGAGGATGTTGGTGGGGTTTGTGGCCTGTGTTGGGCAGGGGACATGGACGGCGTCTGTAACTGGTCAGGGACAGAGGCCCAGGAGTCTACACTGGACAGCACACAGCTGGATGAACCCTCGAACAGATGCTCCGACACAGTCTGCAAGCAGATATAGAAAACTATACGTCTTATTATTACATCAACTAGTCCTTGATTTTATAGGAAAAAGTCCAGTTTTACCAGTGGGTATTGCTCTACACCAGAGGCCCAGATAAGCTGCGTATCCGGGTAAAATACGCATAGAAAATTTCCAATTACGCATTGAAAAATAATTGTTACGTACCAATTCGCATTCAAAATGTTAGATACGCAAAAAGTTTAAAACAAATGCATTTGGAATATATTTATAAAAATCGCTTGCGTAATGAAAAAGACATCGATTGCTATCAAGTTGTACTGTTAGTATAGGACTAGTGTTGTACTGTCAGTATAGGATGAGTGATTTTTTATGAAATCATTTCCATTATATTTAAGTTGGTTTTGATTAGGTATGACATAAGGCAGAACATACCTGCTTTGTAAACTTACTCAATGACATAATACTTAGGTGAGTAAAATGACTGAAATACGCACATATTTGAAAGCAGTGGGTAAAAGAAAATGAAATACCCACTCAACATTCATAATACCCACTCAAAAAAATACAGAGGGTACAGTACCCACATGAGCTAAATCTTATCTGGAGCTCTGCTACACTCAGCCATACTACAATGATCTTCATTCAAATTATCAAGTCTATGATGATTGCTGCAACAGGTGGTAGGATTGTGTGGTCAGTCGCTTTGAATACATTGATTGTGTCACCATACCCCAGAAACTGTTCCTTAATGCTTAAGTTTGTCAAGTTCCTACTCATCTCACTATCTTGTCAAGGAAGAACAATTTTCTCCACTGACTCGGGTGAGTGAGTGAGTGAGTTTAGTTTTACGCCGAACTCAGCAATATTCCAGCTATATGGCGGCGGTCTGTAAATAATCAAATCTGGACCAGACAATCCAGTGATAAACAGCATGAGCATAGATTTGCGCAATTGGGGACTGATGACATGTGTCAACCAAGTCAGCGAGCCTGACTCCCGATCTCGTTAGTTTCCTCTTACGACGAGCATAGTCGCCTTTTGTGGCAAGCTTGGGTTGCTGAAGACCTATTCTACCCCGGATCTTCACGGGTCTCCACTGACTCGAGTCTTCCTGGATACACATCTGTGACATCATATAATGTCCACAAAAGTTTCAGTTTTTTGCAATCTGGCTATGATCTTACCAAACAAACCTCATAACTCAAATGATGTCTATCCAACAGTAACTGAGTATGGTTTTACACCAGTTTTAGCAATATTCTAGCAATGTCTTGGTTGGGGACACCAGAAATAGGCTTCACTAATTGTATCCATGTGGGAATCGTGACCAGGGCCTAGATTTTCAAAGCTCTCGTAGCACTACGATAGTTGTAAGTGCCATACATTAACATAAACTTACGGCAACCCTAGGGCTAAGTGAGCTTCGAAAATCTAGGCCCAGGTGTTTGTCTTGACAAGCGAACACTTTAACCACTAGATTACCCCACCTCCTAATCTGACAGGAAATGACCATCCTATTTCCACAGAGAGGTTGTCTGCTTCACATTATAAACCACTTGTTTAATTGACATTCAAGAAGTTGGTGAGTCAATAGACCAAGACTGAGACGAAGAACAGACCACTCAACATCGTCTGACAAGGGAAGGATGCAACATTCTCAGTTTTATTGAAGCAAGCCTTACCTGGCCAATAGCTGAGGACACTGACTGTGGTTTTCTAGCAGGGCTGCTAGAGTGGGATGGTCGGGGAAGACCACCTTTAACCATACCAGACACGACTCTCTTCACCTCGGCCGTCCTTCTGGAATCTGTAGAATCATGAACATACCCAGATGGCCCTTCTCTTGTGCTTCTCTCCCCTCTTCTCTCATGCCCATCCCTCTTCTCCAGTTCTCTGTGCTTATGTTGCTTTTGCTGTAAATGTCTTCTTCCCTCAACACTGTAATTACCTCCCTTGTCATTATCACTCAACCTAAGTTGTCTCCCTTTACGCTGTGTCCCTGAACTTGGTTTGTCACTGTCAGATAAGTCTAACACATCCGAAACCTCAATCTTCACCTGTTCTTCATCAGCAGATCCTGCCTCATCATCTTCATCCAGCTCTTCATCATCTTTGGGTTTTGTTCTGCCTGAATCATGTTTGTGTCTAGATCGTTTTTCTTCACTATGCGGCTTCTCGGCTTGTAAGAACTGTTTATATTGAACATTGGTCTGATCTGATGACATTTCTTCAGATTCTGAAATCTCACTGGATTGTTTGTAAAGCTCAGGGTATTTTCTGGAATATTTATCTGCATGAGGGCAAGGCAGGAGATCGCACATTAGATGAAGATGAGGATCTGTTTTCCCCTCGGAATGTTTGTGACGATGTAAGGTAGGGCTTGCAATCTCAGGCTTGCTGGAAGATGGTTTTCGTGGAGGTGTGTGTACCGGTGAGTTTTTAGGCTGGAGGGCTTCTAACGATTTTCTGGTCTGAACTTGTGCATCCACCTGTTGAAATAGAAAATCAGTCCCTTCTGAAGATACAGAGCCATAGATTTTTACATTCTATCAAGGTCTCTTAGCTAAGATAGTTGTAAGTTCCATATATTAACATTAAGTTGGCTGCTTGGCTGCTGACTAGCCCATGTTAGCTGCTAAGAGAGCTTCGAAAATCTAGGCCCTAGACAATTAGAGGTGAGGTGATTAGAGGTGAAGTGATTAGAGGTGAGGTGATTAGAGGTGAGGTGATTAGAGGTGAGGTGATTAGAGGTGAGGTGAGGTGAGAGGTGGTGAGGTGAGGTGTGGTGAGGTGAGGTGAGGTGAGGTGAGGTGAGGTGAGGTGAGGTGAGGTGAGGTGAGGTGAGGTGAGAGTGTGTATAGTGTTAGACCACTGTAAACCATGCCACAGTTAACATGAACAATATACTGACAATTAACCCAAATGTTGAATGTTAGATATCGAACAGACAGAGGTCTTGGGGGTCTCTAATTGCAGATATACATCGATCTCAAAAACGTTCAAAATGAAACCAAAACCCCGGAAATCCATCAAAGGAATCCCCACATTACAGGAAAAAATCTCATTAATCCCTTGATCCAAATACTGATGCATTGTGACTCGCACAAAAACAAGATAGAGTTCTGATTTGAAGGTAATTGTTAAAATTTGATGCCCGAACATTTCTTTTGGTACCTAGAGATCATGATATCACCACTGCTTTTCCAGGCCCTGACTAGACTGTTAATGCTGCTGTACAATGGAATTTGATTTTGATGTAATTTGATTTCTATGTAATTCAGTTTCCCCCTAATTCAAATGAACAGTCACAGATGTAATATCTGCAAGGGAGTCTCAGTCCTCTGTACATGTAAATGTTTCACAGGTCTGGAACAGCTTCTCTCACAGCTCATGAGTGCTGCACGTATTTGTTGATTCTAATCCCTTCATGAACTCCATTCGCTATTCCTTGATCACTAGATCAAGTATAACTTCATTGGGTGGCATTTAGAAGTTGGCATGAGTGAGTGAGTGAGTTTAGTTTTACGCCGCACTCAGCAATATTCCAGCTATATGGCGGCGGTCTGTAAATAATCGAGTCTGGACCAGACAATCCAGTGATCAACAACATGATCATCGATGACATGTGTCAACCAAGTCAGCGAACCTGACCACCCAATCCCATTAGTCGCCTTTTACGACAAGCATAGTCGCCTTTTATGACAAGAATGGGTTGCTGAAGACCTATTCTACCCCGGATCTTCACGGGTCAGTTGGCATGAAGAACAACATATCTATGGATATATTCATTATTATAATGCAAGTGACATTTCGCTGTAGCTTACATCACCTACATTATAATATAGAAGTTGTATATCAATAGGACTTTCCCGTTGTAGATCAAGTACATACATGAATTTACTAAAAAGGAGTGTTTTCAGTTCAGTTTGGGAGTTATCAAAACGTGATTGCAAAATGGAATTTGTCCAAGAGAAGTTCACCTTGTCTGTTGAAGGTGCAGGAGTGAAGTGGACAGAGGAGGAAGCATGGCTGTGGCTGGTCACTCTAGGGGTGATCTCTTGGGGGTCGGTCTCTATCGGGGTGGGCTCCCTCAGGGTGCCTGTAGGTATGGCTGTTGTTGGACCTGGATCAACAACACCGGTCAGACGTCGACGGAAGGCATCAAGCTTACTGTCAATGTCCTGAAACAATGCCAGATGTCTTGTAAAATGATGAATAAACTCTTCCTAGTTTAGCCTTCTCTGAGCATATTCTTTGTTTCATACGTAAGCATTTGCGAGTTACAGCAAATGTGAAATATATGCTGACCTTGTTTGACCCTGTGACCTTGACCTCTAACAAAGGATGACCTTGCTGAGCTGTCTCCATTTTCCGTCTTAGTCTCCACTGGTAGAGAATATCTTCCTCTGGTCTTGAAGGTCGCTGCAGCTTGACGGGAGCAGAACGGACATCAGGTTGACTTATTGGATCTGACAACAGGGAATAATACACAACTGAATAAATAACGCTGAGTGAAACATGACGTATGAGTTTCTGCTTATTGTTTAATGCTGCAATCAGCAATATTCCAGGTTATATAATAATAATAATAATAATAATAATAATAACTAGGATTGCCTCCAGGGCAATACTGACGGTCTTCAGACTTCCTCCCCCGTGGCTACCTTTACTTGTACCGTTTCTTTGGGACGCCAGCTGGACCGTCAATTTTAACTGTCGGAGTTACAGGTGTTTGAAGAGTATTTAAGGGCTAGAAAGCGTTCAAAACCCAGGCAGAACACGTTTTTGACACGAGAGCGGATCGGTGAAATGCAGCCGGGGTCGCGGGGTCATGTACCTTTTAAGTAGTTCCCACAGAAGGTATAGTTCTTACTTTAACTGTCTGTAGCTCCGCTTGTCCTTGGGCCCTCTCACGGTCCAAACGATTAGTGTTCTGGAAACGCCGTTGATCCTAGCTATCTGGCGATACACGTATGTGCAAATACTGCACTTGTGAAGGATAATGCCGATGTAACGCTATGTCTTTGGGCATTGGATGCCGTTCCAACTCAGATTTGACAGCTCCTTGTCATTGTCAATTACATCTGCCGTTGAAATTGACATCGCTCTCCCATATCTGCATCGGACCACGCTTTGCAGTGGTAGTCTCTTTATAGGAGATATATGTTCTCCGCGTGGTAGCCATCTGATAGTGAACAACCTGAGGGAAGTTTATCTGTATTATAAATTGCAACTGTGTGATGTGACTAACAAACTGCCTGCTTTTAAATTTAGTGCTATGACTTTTCTGTTTTTTTAAATGACAACGTAATGAATAGATGTTTTTTAAATAAAACTCATTTTGACTCTGTACTTTACCATGTGCACTAATGCAGACTTGTTCTTATCACTATATGGCTGGCTGGAATAAAGCTTACGTAAAGCCCAACTCAACTCAACCCAACCTTTAAAAAATTACTGTGGTGCGGTTAAAGGCCGGGTTCCAACCTGAGATTAATTTGGCATTGATTCAATGCTGCTGATTAATAAACGGAAAATTCACAAACTGCAGAAGAAACATATACTATAAGAGAGATAACTGGTACATGTTGCAGACTGCTGGAGAGATCACATCCTGGCAATTCCAGAACACTAATTCTTTTGAATGAAGACTTATGAACAACAGAGTTCACGGCCTGTTAAAGAGGAACTATTTCTGTGGGCACTGGAAAACCAGGACACGGGCAGTGGTGCTAGATTTTACAACACTTCCTCCAGCTATCTCACAACTGGAAAAATCTCTAAAATCCTAATGTCCCTCACTGTTTGTGGCGTAATTGTAGGCGTAACTATTGACTTTACATAATGATAATGTGAAGCAAAATTGTTCCACATTTTATTGTCTACAGTTTGGTACCTTCAAAAAGAAAATCCATTGTGTTTTCGCAGAGCTGTGAACCCTATAAAAATGCGTCTGGCCAAAAATTGACCAACTTCCAAGGGCAATAACTCCGACACTATTCAAGATATCGATATGCATTGAACAACCTAAGTAGTCCAGAGTGTGGGCTTTAAAACGATATATAGAACACTATTGTACTATTTGCCGTTCAGGAGCAGAGGATTGTTAAACAGAGGCACCATCAAAAAGGTGCAGGAATTTGCGAAATCGCGAAGGCTGTGTTTGCGTCGTAATGGTGACGTTATTATTGATTTTTTCATAACCATGATGTGAAGCAAAAATGTTTCCCATCCAATTACCTACAGTTTGATACAATGGAAGATGGAATTCATTGATTTTCCGCAGAGTTGTGACCTCTTTCTTAACCCTATAAAAATGCGTCTTAAAAAAATCACTGACTTCCAAGGGCGATAACTCTTAAACTATTCAAGATATCGATATGCATTGAACAACCTAAGTAGTCCAGAGTGTGGGCTTTAAAATGATATATCGAACGCGATTGTACTATATGCCGTTCTGGAGAAGAAGATTTTTAAAGACAGGCACCGTCAAAACGAGGAAATCGGCAAAAATTTCAGCTTTTTCAAAATTGCGGAAAATCTATTCTGCCGCGAAACTTCGGCTATGGTTGGATCCATGGGGAAGGTTGATGCCTACATTGAGTGAAAATTTGGTCCATTTATCTCTAATAGTATTGGAGATATAGACGTTGAAAAAGTTTGAAATATTTTGACATTTTGGGTTCTCTGCCCTTACCGGAAGCCGGAAGTCTGGATTTTTTCGACTATGTATCAATTTCAGCATACAGGCTATCACCTCTGAAAGTTTCATGAAAATCGGCCCAGCGGTTAGGTCAGGAGAGCTGTCACAAAAATTGTACAAATAATAAGAAGAAGAAGAAGAAGAAGAAGAATAATATTCGGATAATAACAGTAGGTCTTCCAGACTTTCGTCTGAAGACCTAATAATCGCTTTGTATAGCCCCTATTTCCAGCTATATGCAGCTGCTCAATGGTGCTTCACACGTTACAGTTCAATCACTAGTTTTGAGTTTTCTCTTAAAAGTTGGGAGAGAGTCACTGTTCCTGATGTCAAGGGGGACCGCGTTCCACAGGGCGGGAGCTGCAACTGAGAAGGAACGATCTCCAGCCTTTGTTGATGTTGATGGAACAACCAGTTTCTCCTTCTGGGCAGAATGTAAGGTTCTAGATGGGTGGTAGACCGATAGCAGGTCCTTTTAATAAGTAGGCGATGATTCAACATAGAGAGCATTGTACGTCAAGACGAGCAACTTGAAACTGACCCGATGTCTAATGAGCAACCAGTGTAAATCTCTGAGAATTGGCGTAATGTGACAATCCCTTTCTGGTGCGGGTGACAACACGAGCAGCCTTGTTCTGAACTCTCTGTAAGTGAGAGATTACGCCAGATCCAAACACTAGAGAGTTACAGTAATCGAGTCTACTTGTTACTTGAGACTGAATCAGAATTTTGCTAGTTTCGTTAACACATATGTTAACACATATGGCAGCAGTCAGTAAATAAATGAGTCAGGACCACACCAGACAATCCAGTGATCTACACAATTGGGAACCAATGACATGTGTCAACTAAGTCAGCGAGCCTGACCACCCGATCCCATTAGTTGCCTCTTACGACAAGCATATGTTCCGAAGACCAATTCTAACTCAGATCTTCACGGTTTCCAAAAGTCAGAACCTTTATCACACTCAGAGAGTTCTTAGATATGCTCGATCCAAAATATTAGTTCGATAGAAACTATGTGGGAGTCTCGTGCAGGTAAGTGGTGTATTTAGCTGACCTTGAAACTGAAGTGTACACATGGCATACCGATTGCACTATGAACATTGTAACTACTGCTACGATTTTACCAAGAGACATCTCTCCTAAAAATAGCATTAAACATCTTATTTCAGGCCCATGGACTCAATTTCACATGGGCTTAAACACACAAAAGATAGGAGAGAAGCTCTGGGATCTGGGAATCCACCTACAGGTTTAGCAACAATAACTCTACAGAACAATTCAACAATAATTACTGAATGCCATGTGCACTTATTAAGATCTGTTACACCACAAGAGATGTAGAGCAGACAGTCTCCCTCACCATGTAATCTTGTGAACAACGGTCGGTATGGTGCCTCGTCAAAGCTGCTGCCTGCAGTGCCGCTTGTTGTTCCCAGGCCATCTGTGCTGACTGCCGGCTCTGAGGAATGGAGGCTACTCCCACTGCAAGACAGCACAGGTTATCACAACACAGAACATAGGTCATTATAACAAAGAACACCATAACACAGGACACAGGTCATCATAACACAGGACACAGGACATCATAACACAGGTTGTCATACCACACGACACAGGTTGTCATAACATACGTCATCATAACACATGACACAGGTCATTATAATGCAGAAGATAGATCATCATAACACAGGCGACAGGTCATCATAACACAGGTCATCATAACAAAGAACACAGGTTGTCATACCACAGGACACAGGTTGTCATACCACAGGACACAGGTTGTCACAACACAGGACATCATAACATGGGTCATCTTAACACAGGACATCATAACGATGAACACAGGTCACCATAACACAGATTGTCACAACACAGGACATCATAACACAGGTCATCTTAACACAGGACATCATAACACGGATTGTCATCACACAAAACAGAGGTCATAATGACACAGGTTGTCATAACAAGACATCATAACACAGGTCATTTTAACACAGGACACAGGTCATCATAACACAGGACACAGGACATCATAACACAGGTTGTCATAACAGAACACAGGTCACCAGACACGACAGAAAAGAGGTTGTCATAACAAAAGCCATCATAACAAACAACACAGGTCATCAGAACACAGGACACAGGTCATCAGAACACAAGTTGTCATAACACTGGTCATCATATACTTTAATACCTCAACATATGCTTTAAGTGCCTTAACATACACCATCAGCACCTTGGCCTATTCTCACCTAGACTCCCTACTGCAATCTTGAAGACAAGCCAATAACTGAATTAATATTTAACAGCATCATGCCATACCAAGACATCTTGAGGCTGTGAACGAGATGCTGACAAACTTCACACAGACCATCCGTCAGATGGATCACAGCTTCCACCTAATGTACTGACCTCTCTTCCAGCAGCCTGGCTGCACGTTCCTGAAGCTTCCGTGTGACGTCATCCAATGCAGGCTCCGACAACCCATGCAAGGTCATCACCCTCCCAGTCTTATCTCTACTGCTTGGCTAAAATGACATGTTTACTCTTTAGAGCTTACATAACAGATCAAATCATGTTCATATCCCAAACAAGCAAACATCTTTGCAAAAACATTCCTCGAAAACTCCACTCATATACAACTGACTGACTGAGTTTGGTTTTACGCCGCTTTTAGCAATATTCCAGCAACATCACAGCGGGGGACACCAGAAATAGGCTTCACACATTGTACCCATGTGGGGATTCGAAACCGGGTCTTCGGTGTGACGAGCCAACGCTTTAACCACTAGGCTACCCAACCGCCCACTCATATAGAGTAGCAGTAAGTGGACGCAGTTTTGTAGTCTATAGTATTTTCCCATTTCATGAATGTACATGTATTCCTCAGTCAGCATAAATTCAACTTATAACAGAAAGACGTATTAAGAAACAATTTCTGATATTTGATGTTTTGGGTTTTTTTAGTTCTTAAACAACACACTCCCTGGCATACTCAGCAATGTTCCAGCTTTAAGGTGGTGGTCGGTAAATAAGTCAGCCAGCCTGAACACCTGTTCCGATTAGACCTGTCTTATGACAAGAATGGGTTGCTGAAGACCAATTCTAACCTGGGTGTTCACGGACACTCTAAGATTTAATATATTCGGTTCAATTTTAATATCCCCAGGTTTACTTCATAAACCTTAAATCTGTTCAGATGTTAATTTTAGATGTCTGGCCAAGTTATTTTTTGTTAAAGTACACTTATCATTGCATATATGTAGGACTAGGATCCATGACAAGCCTCAAATCCGTGGCGGATTTCCAAATCCATGCCAGATTTTCAAATCCGTGACTAGTTGCCATACCTACCCTAATCTGTGGCGGATTTCCTACACATCATCATTAGAACATTTCAGCTCTGTAGAATAGGGGTTTATGGCATTTCATTTATGTGTTTCTAACTTACTGACACCCCTGGGCATAGATTTTCGAAGCTCTGTTAACGCTAAGATCGTCTTTCGTTATTGCTAATATTTTTTCACGACTAATCATAGAACTAAGGGGAGCTTGAAAATTTAGGCCATGCTAATCTTGGAAATCTTTACACTTCCCCATTTCGGATTCAGCGTTTTCAGTTTTGTAATCTCACATATTTTTTCCATATCTTCCCAAAATGTTTCTGCATTGGGATCTTTTGATACGGGTTACTTCTTCTCTGTAGGTGGCTCCGCAGTTACAAAACTATCATTTTCTATGGTTTCCATATTCTTAGCTTTGGAGATTTTCCTAAGATTACTATTGCCACGAACAGCTAGTGTCGAATAACATCGGGAACGGTTAGCGATTATGACATCATCGCGTAATGACGTAATGACGGGATGATGTCATGTAACAATCAAACTATCAAACCTGTCACGGATTAGGAAACCCGCCATAGATTAGAGACCCACCACAGATCTGAGTCCTACACATATCATTAACATCATATGGCAGAACACAAAATGCCAAATTGTGCAATCAGGTAAATGGAACTAATTTGTGCCATCATCCCTTTACATGTGGCTACGACTTTCCAAAAACGAATATCAAAATGTGATCAAAGTGATCAATAATAAACATTTACTTTCTGTTTAGGCAAATTAATATGAATTACTCCAATGTTTTCCTTTATTAAGAAAAGATAAACACTGGTTTGCAGGGAGATAACTCCATCTAGTATAGCCCAGTTACCTCCCCTTGACTCAACCCTGCACTCACCAATTCTCCGACAATGCCTAGTTTGAAAGACACAAATCGTAAAAAAATAAAGACAGTATTTCTGTCACGTGTTGTTGCTGTTTTATTGAAGAAAGTGTCACGAACGAAAATCAGAAATTGTAGCACTCAAGGGGAGCTTGTAAAATTTCCATCACATCTCATACAATACCACCCTACACGATCGTTGTAATCTACGTGACTGTTCTCTATGATGGCTGCATAACACATTGAAGGGAGATATCATTCGCAAAGTTCAGTCGTTAATCCCAAACTTGTGTTTCGTTAAGGAAACAACATTACATGTAACATCCTCTCCACTCAGTGGAGTTTGTTAGCATTATAACAATAAACTTGATTGAGTCCATGCTCTTGAAAACATAACTTTATGTTATACTGTTAAATGCAGTTCTTTACGCAAAAGAAGTCGACGAAAAGAATCGACTTCTGAGAGGTAATATCAAGAACTTTACTGACAATACAACAGCATTTATAAAAGGTAATATTATTGATCAGGTTGTGAATGAATGCCTTTGTAACATAGATTACAGATTCGCACCAAAATCACTTGTTCACATGAATAACATTCAATCTTTCTTTCTCCCTATTCCCTTGTCCGTAATCCCGCACGATCGGCATGAGTCTTGCCCATTCTGTCAGAATTCAACAATGATATATTTGTAATCTACGTTACCAAACTGTAATCTACGTTACCCTACAAACTAATTCATTGGACGTAATAATCTTCCTCATATAGACTGATTTTACAACAACTTACCATATATAAAAGTCATTATTGCTACTTGATTAGCAATAAATATAATATTCATAACAGCTCCCAGAACATGTGATAGGCATTACTTCATTCATTGCAATCTTCGTTACCATACTTTGAGGAGCGAGTACAAAATTGAGGTGAAGCATATGTTGCATTTTTTTAAAGAGATCAAAATATCATACATTTAGGGTCAATATCAATATGTCTAAAAATTTTATGTGATATTAACAGAATTGATACAAGCTTCACGAAATACAACTTTTGTCAATCTTTTGAAATGATGGCTAATGACACCCAAATAAAGTGATCATTTCCAAATGCTTCTAGCGAAGAAATTCTCAACAGTAGAACAATTGTTTTGAAATATTGTGAAACTATATCCCTATAATGAAGTAAATTAACAAGCAATTCTACCTGTTTCACAGGGAATTTCCCAAATAAAGATGAAGTTTCCCTTCCAAATTTGAATTTCGTGAAATGTCACTGAAGTGCTGCGATCATGTGACAGCAACCAGTGGCAACTATTGTAGGTTATCAAATTATTTGCCTGGGTTCTTTGACTATGCTACGAAGCAAAACCTTCTATTTCCAGTAATATTTTGTAAGATTCCATATCAGGTGGTAACGTAGATTTCATAACGTAGATTACTTTCACCGTTTGCAAACTACCATGATCTTGACTGGGAGCTTTTTGCACTCCCTTTTCGGTTTTATTACACTATGAAAACACAAAGCATTCATTCCAATCACTTTTATAGGTAGCTGTTATTCATGTTTCAGTGGGGAGGTGGGGTAGCTCTTATAAAAAGGGCAGTGGGGTAGCCTAGTGGTTAAAGCGTTGGCTCGTCACGCCGAAGACCCGGGTTTGAATCCCCACATATGTACAATGTGTGAAGCCCATTTCTGGTGTTCCCCTCCGTGATGTTGCTGGAATATTGCTAAAAGCGGCGTAAAACTAAATTCAGTCAGTCAGTCAGTCAGTCATGTTTCCGTACAGTAATGGTAACGTAAGTTTCATGCTTAACACAACTATTTTTATAGACGGGTTAGAGATGGTTTTATATGGTACGATGTGTTCCAAGATGACACTCTTTCTACTTATAATATATCCAGTAAAAACTTGCGAGCTTTCAAAACAAATGTTTGTCAATATATATGCATTTTACACTGCACTTTACGTTCAGTAACGTAGATTACCGCTATTGTGGCGACATATTTCGTAGTGTCACATTTGATTTGTTTATTATGATAATCCCTTCATTTTTTCATACCTTTTACATTCATGTCCGTACAACCTATGGGAAGTGATTTTAAATGCCTATGATGGTAACATACTACAGTCATCCCTCGCAATAACGCTCTTCGTGATACCGCGGATTCGGTTAAACCGCGGGGTAATCCATGGCTCCCATAAAAAAGTTGCCCGGTGATCACACATACACGTCATCGAAAATAGCACATCAACAAATCCGCTGTTGAGCTCTGGTTAATCACGTTGTAAACTAGTGAAATTCAGTGCGGATTGCAATTAACAGTGTTTATCGTACATATCCATGTTTTTTCAGATGCTTAAAACATGCAGTTTTTTTTTTTAATAATAATAGATGAACAGCGAAACATCGTAATAACTTTATCATAAGTCTTAAAGACATGTCATCAGCCGAGTACTTACAATGTTTGCTATGATGCAACACACCACGTAATTGCGCGGATAAACACCGCCATCCGAGAATGTATGATGTCAGAAAACACATTTTATTGATTAAATTCAATCCCATTTTCATTCATTAAAACTGTTTACAATAACAACGGAGAACCCGTGAGTGAAATGGCATTACCTCATTCCATACAACGCCCGCTTACCACATTCGTGAGGGTCCGTTTTTCACGCCTACCTCGATAGCACCAATTTCACATTTTTCTCAGCAATCACTTGCAATCAAAACCCTGTCATCCATTGACCCCAAGCCCCGCGTTATTGACTCATTGAAGTCATATTTGACAATTAACTGCCAACATTTTGTTTTTACAATCAAAGTGTCACGTACCGCGGGAAGTCAGCGGTGACTTGTCAAACTGTCTCCTACGTAAAATGTATCCAGCCAGGTAACCCAAAGTGCTTAGCAATGCTAATTACTATGTTAAATATGTTCGTAGAAAACATGCATTATACTTATACGATATATAAGATCTCTGTTAGAATAACTGCTTGACATATAAATTATTCTGATAATGGAATCAAAATTCTTTGATGTTATATTTTCGGATCGTTTTTAACTGAATCACCGGTACATTCGACCAAAACACCGATCTGTGCCCAGCTGATTGCTATTTCCGGCTTAATTGAATAACAGGTAGCATCACAGGAACAACAATTGAATTATCATGTCTTGTGATGTTTGATTGCAAGTTTCATGTACATACATCTATTTTCATTTACAAAGTTTTTTGGTTTTTTTCACCTCCAACAATACGATATAGTTTTGACTGGGTACAATACAAGAAATAGCTGTTTTGTTATGTCCATGGAAAATACGATTTTACTTGGCTTTGTTCCGAGTTATGTAATCATTACTATAACGCGGTGTCTAATAACGCGGGGGGTCATCCATGGACCCAAAGACCTGCGTTCTGGCGAGGGATGACTAATTGTATCCATTTGTTTAAACACTACATCTTTGGCGACGCCAAGAATGAATAAATTGTGACACGTTTTGATTGTTACAAACAAAATAGTGATTTCCAGTTGATTTCAACGAATTATACCATGTTTACTTGGTAGTACTGGATGCGTATTTGACTTTTATTCGTGTTTATTCGTCTGCTAATCAAGTACAAATCAAAACGACAGAAGAAATAGGTAATTGGGCATTCTCTCTGAGAATTGGTGACTGTATTATTCTGGTATTCCGGAATTCCATTTTCACAGATAACTTGGCAGCATTGTCCATTTGTGGCAGATATTTACTATCTCGCAAAATATCACAAGCTGAAGAAATTGTGGAATGGAGAATTTTGTTATCTGGGGCCACTGAATTTGCAGGGACTGATAAACACGATACTATGGTCTCCTTACATTAGTTTTGTCAGTGTTGGACCATCCTTTCTCTCCCCTGATCCGTAAACTGCCTGCTCCTTGGGTGAAGGTCGTCCTTGGGGGTGGAGGTGTCGCTGGGGGTGGGCGGGCTGTGAGCAAGCCACCAGAAATCCGGCTTGCTGGAGACTTTCTGCGACCGCTCAGCCCGGCTCATCGGAACTCCATATCGGAACCGATCAATGTAACTGAACAAAATATATATTATATACATAGTCAGTCAATTAGTTTGAACTAAGGAAAGTCTTTTTTATTAGAGTGAGTTTAGTTTTATGCCGCTTTTAGCAATATTCCAGCAATATCACGGCGGGGGACACCAGAAATGGGCTTCACACATTGTACCCATGTGGGGAATCAAACCCGGGTCTTCGGCATGAAGAGCGAACGCTTTGACCACTAGGCTACCCCACTGCCCTTTTTATAAGAGCTAATCATTGGTATTAGTACATACAACAGAATGGTTACTGAGGGTGGTAATATTAATACCAAAAATAGCAACCTAAATTGGGGTTTACGCCGATTTTAGCAATATTCCAGCAATATCACGACCAGGGACACCAGAAATGGGCTTCACATATTGTAAACATGTGGAGAATGAAACCAAGGTCTTTAGCATGACGAGTGAACACTTTAAATACTAGGCAGCCCTACATATCCAAATAACAAGTCCTCACTTCTGTAGTACAGATCCTCTCTCTGCAGTTGTCTCCCTTGTCTGATTCCTTTCCTCGGCAGACTTTCCAGACTGTCTGTCTGTTCTGTCTAGCGCTGACTTGAGCTGTGAGAGGGAGTCCAGCATGGTACGATGGCCCCCAGACTCGGGACTACGAGAAACATGATAAAACAGTCAAAGAAAGTTCTACAAATATGTTGACAATAATTGTCGAAATTTAAATTTGTCATTTTAAGAAATAATGAATCACTTGATATAAAATCAACTGAAGCTAAGGCCACTAGTCAAAGGCAAGCAAAATTCAGGAGGGGCTCGTGACATTTGTTTGTGGACAGGCAACTCGACCATCACACAGACACTGTTGAATGCAACCAACAGGGCTCAATTTAAACATAGAGAATTTGCACTTGTGCAACCTGAAACTGCAAAATGTAACAATACCACCAATGTGAATCCTTGTTCTTCTCGGAACAACAAAATATAAACATGTGCTGGATCCAAGTTTATATCAATATGGGGGTGCATTCTGCAGTTTTAGGTTGCACCAGTGCACGTTCTAAATGCTTAAATTCAGTTGGTTGGTTGTTTAATGCCACACTCACCAATATCCCAGCTATATGGCAACAGTTTTGTAAATAATAGTGTCTGCACCAGACAATCCAGTGATCAACAACATGAGCATCAATCTATACAATTGGGATACAATGACATGTGTGAACCAAGTCAGCGAGCCTGATCACCCGATCCCGTTAGTCGCCTTTTTACAACAGGCATGGGTTGCTAAAGACCAATCCTAACACTGATCTTCACGGGTGTAGTTCAGGAAAGATGTGGCGCCGTGGTGCCATAGCAGTGTTGCCCGGCTTCCTGATTACTACCTGCTACTGAAGGGACGGTCACTGCTCGGCCAGGATTCATCAAACTGGGATGAGTGGTCACTCCTCTCAGGAGGGGTCTTGACAGATGAGAAGATATTGGTGCCTTTGAGGAACATCTCCTCTGATGGGCTGTGTCGTCTAGCCTTGCTGTCATCGCGAGCTGGGCTCAGGGTAATCTGTACAATTCCATGATCACTGTTACTGTTGGAACCATGAATCTGATACTTGTTACCATCCTAACATAAAATGGGGGACAGATAATACATTGGCCATTTCTTCTTGTCGTCTCTTTTTGGCAAAAATGTATCTAATCGACGAAAATATATGTTTTTGTCTATATATCCGAATGTTAATGAAGTTTCTTCAAATTTCGTAGAATTTCTAGTGCAATCGTATTGGCATAGTTTCAGGCTAAATTTTGTAGCGACCAGGATAAAATCGTAGAGGTTGGCATCTCTGCAGAACCATAACATAACATTAGTAATAACGATAATCATGATAACAGCATGAAATGGGAAATATTCAATAGGGAAACATCAGAGCTGAATATTGGCCCCTGCTCAGTGAAGATAAATCACTGTCAAAATAATTAAATTTATTTTGAGATGATCGTAAGTATGTCACTTTGTGCAAACCTCTTTCTGTTTCTTTCCTAACTTTTTCTGTTTACTTGGATGGTAAAACGCTTTGGGTGAGGGGTCCCGACCAAACGGATCTCTGTAAAAGCAAATGACAAATAAGTTTAGATAAAGTTTTACCAACTTGCGACATCACTCAAAATAAGAAAATAAAAACGAAAATACTGTGTATATATATGTATGTAGGTAGGTAGGTATGTAGGTAGGTAGGTAGGTAGGTATGTGACTGGGTAATTCATTTATAACATTTTGTTTCTTTCTGACATATGCAATAGTATTAGACATGCATGTATTGATAGGCTCCTCAAAACTTTATACATCCCCAGGGCTACAGATAAGGGGCGTACAGGTGCATACGCCTTAAAATCAATTAAGTACGACATAATATAAGATTTCAAGCGTATCGTGTACGCACATAAATACCTTCGTACGTCTAGCATTTAATTTATTTTTCGATTAGCTAAAAAAACACACTGTTCCTATTTATATCCAGTCGGACCTGACATTTTGCGCATCACACAGTCGCTCAGTTATTACTCACGCGTCTTCAAATACAAATACATGGTTGGAAATAGTGATCGATGAATCGTCCAGACAAACCACATCAACTCGCTCACACAAAAACATGTCAGTACTCCTTCAAAATGCTCAGTACACCTCCACTTGCAATATGATGTGTAAGTACACTCACACCCCCAAAAGTTATCTGGAGCCCTGCATCCCAGTGATATAAATGGAACAAGGTTTCAGAGCTAAAAGTAAATACTGTACATACATTGCGAAAACAGCCTTGTGCTAAGGTTGCTAACAGATGCCATCCAACATGATTTGAAACATGCACCATGCATCTTTCACAGATAATTTCATTTGTCAAATTGAAAGACTTTACACAACTTGAGCAAACTCTGCACATATTTGAGTGTGTACTGAACCTATTGAATGAATATATGCTTGTCTTACTGAATGTGTAAGCTGTCATTTTGCATAAATTTGGTAATGCATATGATATAATGATGACTGAATTTAATAAATGCTAAGTATGACATCCATCCTAAACATGCTAAATGTGAGCAGAGTGTGATTAGAATTAACTACCAAGTGTAATAGGTGTACTGTGGGTACCTGGAAATACATTCTTGTAAACAGAAAAGTACTCGTCATTCACCATGTCCATATAGATCTGTCATACATCATTATATGTGCTGAAGGACTCCCATTGGGAGTCCCAACCACTAAGGTTGTTTGCAAACGTTATTTTTGTCATTTACAAAGACTGCGCACTTTTTGGTGTTGCACTCTTTAATACTACTCTTCTTTCTATTCAGGTTGTAAGAAGCCTGGCTGCTGAGACCGATATGAAGATTAAAGCTTATTTTGTCATCACACATTATTACTGGCGAAGCATGCACAGACCTGTCATTCGCACGAAGGAAATATTCTCACCCGAATTTCGTTGATCTGTGCGTTAGTTTTTCCATTCCCATTGCCCCTATTTAATAAAACAGTGTATTCCGTTCTCTACGTCAAACGACGTCATGCTGCCGTTGGCTGATGTGTCCCCATAACCTTATTACAGTAAAGGCATTTTCACTGATTGCAATTTGTTTTCAAGTCCACCGCCATTGATGATCCACAACTTCCGGTTTAGCCGAAGAGAGCTTACTTTCCACAAAACATTCTATTTTCATGTCAGCTGACGGATGATCACATACTCTCATTACAAGAAGTATTACGTACTATGTGATCCGTTGGCCAATAGAAACAGCACTGAACCTAGACATTTCTGAAAACAGGCCAAATTTGTGTTTAACCTGACCAAAAGGGAGTTGTACAGTTTCTTAAGGTTCTATTTTATGGAAAAAAGACTGTTTCAAACTTCAGATGTAACCCGTGAACATTCGGGTTAGAATTGATCTTCAATAACCCATGCTTGTGGCAAGAGGCGACGAACGGCATCGGATGGTCATGATGTTGATCACTGGATTGTCTGGTCCAGACTATTGTTTACAGACCGCCGCAATCTGGCTGGAACTATTCTGAGTGCACCGTTAAACAAGAGTGATTGGGTTTAGTTTCACGCCGCAATCAGCAATATTCCAGCTATATGGCGGCGGTCTGTAAATATTCAAGTCTGGACCAGACAATCCAGTGATCAACAGCTTGAGCATCGACCTGCGCAATTGGGATACGATGACATGTGTCAACCAAGTCAGCGAGCCTGACCACCCGATCCCGTCAGTCGCCTCGTACGACAAGCATGGGTTACTGAAGGTTCATTCTAACCCTGACCTTCACGGGTCACGTTAAACAAGAAACAAACGTGCTGTGTAAATGTTCATATGCTCAAATTGATCGACAAACGTAAATTTCGACACAGCATTTTTTAATATTCATTAGTGTGCTGGCGATTATGGTCTGTTTGGCTCAAAAGCGGACCGATGAATTGCAGTCTAACTCGAAAACTACTAAACATAAAATACTCAATGAAACACTGATCATAATCAAAACATCAGACCAACTCTGTGATTTTTTTGCAAAATTTATGTCCTAAAAATAAAAAAGTTGTTTAACAAACTATCATTAACATTTTGACACAGTTCACAATTTGTTACGAGGGAGGACTGCAAAGAGAGGAACAGACAGGTGTACGCGGAGCACGTGCACAAGTGCCGACAAAGTTATTGAATCATTTACCTGTGCTGTACTGTCTCCATCCTTTCTCGCGCACCTGGCTGTTCCTCTCTTTGCACCCCTCCCTCGTAAGAAATAGTGAACTGAGGGAAAATTTTAATGATACTTTGTTAAACAACTTCTTTTTTTTTAGGATATAAATTCTGCAAAAAATTCACAGATTTTGAGCCAAACGGTCTATAGGCGCCTGACTCTGAGGGTGCGGGTTTGAATCCCGGATGGGACTCAACCCAACAAAAATTACTCGAATCTCTCCTTTACTAAGAAAATGTAATCCCAAATATAACATATGTTACATTTGACCACTTTCAAATGACATTGTGTAATCATAGCTTTCGGTCGTGCGTGCCGTGCCAATTTACACTTATCAGAGGGGTACACTAAGTCCGCAGTCTAGACCACCACTTCTCCGACTTCCATTTTTGTGGAAGTTGCTGTGGCTGAGCGGTCTAGGCGTCTGACTTTGTGTGTTGGCGATTAGGTGCCTAACTCTGAGGGTGTGGGTTCGACCAACAAAAGTACAAGGATCTGTACTTTACTAAGAAAGTGTAATCCCAAATATAACACGTGTTATATTTTTTAGATTGTTAAAAATATGACGTGTTTTGCTATTTCATTGTCTTTCAAGATCCCTTAATCACCCGTCAACACAGATGCCCAGGTCGCCTTAGTCTGACACAAAGGATCGTTCTGGCTCCATTTATAAAGTACAAAAATACATTTCATACTTATATAGAGGGAATGGGGCGTTATGGGGAAAGTGTGCAAAGCATAATTTAGTCTAACAATTACTTTTTGAAATAATTGTAAATGTATGATGCAATTTCATAATAAACTTTCCTCCTCTGAGATTTCCATATATGGAATCAAGGAAACCAGCCTTGGTTGAGTGTAATCTCGACCTTTTAGAAAGAAAAGAAAAGAAAATACAGAAATTCCTAAGTAATGTGACAATATGAAAACTAGTCTAGTTTGATCTCGTTAGATTTGGCGTTTAGTAAGATTATAACAGGGATACTCAACAACACCCCCTTATATAGTCTCCCTGATTATAATGACCCTTTTTGTGGAATGCTGATGCTATCTTTTAAACTGACTCCGAAAACGATATGGCTGAAGAATTATTTAAACAATGTTTGTGCTATAAACAAAAACATGCCGCGAATTGACTATAGAAGAGTGTCCGTGTGTGTTGTCTGTCGATTCACCGACAGAGTACCTTAGCAACGGATGCTTTCCCACGTGAAGGCGTTAGGAAAGTATTGTCGCCATATGGCAACGAGGCTGCTTGAAAATGGCGTCGACTTATGCACAGAAAGCAGCGAAGGGAAAATCGCAAGAACAAATTATTGCTGGTTTTCAAGAACTCCGACAGCAACAGAGGATACTAGCAACAAAGATATCTGAAATAGAGATGGATATGAAGGAACATGAGTATGGATTTATTTTTCTTCAGCGAAAGTATACACATGTTACGTACACACGTGCCTTCGTCTAAACACCTCCTAAAACGCACCTGCATGCTACAAGTAACAACTGCCGGTAGCTGTAATCAAATTAACCTTTAATCATTTCTGTTTTCAGGATTAGTTTGATGAGAATGTTGCAAATTACTATTAACATTAAACACAAAAAGACAGATACCACCGTACACTGACTTTGTTGCAGGAAGTTGACAGTTTTCATATAATACTGAATTGATTTTCTGATGGTAATGTCTCTTGTGAAAGGGGAAGGGGCGGTGGGGTAGCCTAGAGGTTAAAGCGTTCATTCGTCACGCTGAAGACCCGTGTTCGTTTCCCCACATGGGTAGACAGTGTGTGAACATGGTGAAGCCCATCCCCTGTCGTAGTATTGCTGGAATATTGCAAAAGCAGCGTAAAACCATACTCACTCAGTCACAGACTCGAATGGGTAGACTTATTGTAGGGATAGACACATTCACACAATTAGTCCATTTGGTCAGAAGCTTTTTTATGGGTGGTTATGAAAATGTCTTGATTGTGGAATTACACAGGTCATTCCAGATTCTAACTTATCTCAGATTCACCGACTAGTGAGAGTGTCTAACCATAAGTGTCCAATATCTTTGAAGTGAGGTGAGGTAAGGTGAAATTGGGTTTAACGTCGTGCTTGAGAATATTTCGCTCATATGACGACGTGTATGCGTGTGTATGTGTATATGCGGCTGCTTGTACTAGCCCAGACTAAAGCTTGTTTTATAGTGCTAGCCCACTGAGATACCATGCCGCAGTGAAGCATGGATACCCCACTCAGACACATTTGACTGACTCCGAGCTGACCAGTCCTTGTTGTACCCATTAATGCCGAACGCCAGTCAGGGACCAACAAGTACCATATTTTAACGTCTTTTGGTATGACGCGGTCGGGGATTCACTGACTAGTGAGAGTGTCTAACCATAAGTGTCCAATATCTTTTAAGTCAACTACATCAGTGCATATCAATGTTGCTGGTTTGCAAGGATGGCAGTTAAAGTTTGCTTGTCTGAGATACGTTAAATTCAGAATGGATTGTGTGGACAAGTACTCTCGCCATTAAATAGATTGTCAGCTCGGTAGCAGTTCATTTTTGTGGACTAGTTTGAATAAATATTATTTTCCATCTCAGATCTTTGCATTATTTTCAGCTTCCTTGACCATGTTGACTAAAACCAAAATTGTATTATATTGTAACCTGGGACTTGTTGATCTGCAGGTTCATTCATTTGCATCTAGCATCAACTTTTGGGGGTGCGAGTGTACTTACACATCATATTGCAAGTGGAGGTGTACTGAGAATTTTGAAGGAGTACTGACATGTTTTTGTGTGAGCGAGTTGATGTGGTTTGTCTGGACGATTCATTGATCACTGTTTCCAACCATGTGTTTGTATTTGAAGACGCGTGAGAAATAACTGAGCGACTGTGTGATGCCCGAAATTTCAGGTCCGACTGGATATAAATAGGAACAGTGTACTTTTTAGCTAATCGAAAAATAGTGATGCATATCGTTGCATGGCAACGCAAGGGATTCCTACTGTCGGGGTTTCCTTATGTGTCAAATCGTGTTTCGCAAAAGAAACTTAACAACAAGTATTTATCCGAAATAGATTTCAATTTGCACGATATGCACGGAAATTAAATGCTAGACGTACGAAGGTATTTATGTGCGTACACGATACGCTTGAAATCTTATATTATGTCGTACTTAATTGATTTTGAGGCGTACATTACGCCTGTACGTCCCTTATCTGTAGCCCTGGGTACCGCTAAATGAGACCCAAAATAGTAATAACTGGTGCTGGAGCGATTGATTGAATACCTGGTCATTTGATCGATCTTGCTTGCGTCAGCGATATTCAGTCAGCTTGGGAGACTGATCAGTATTCATACAAATGAAATATCAAATTAACCTTTAGAAAGTATGTTTCTTATTGTTGTGTTTGTTAAATCAAGACATTAACAACTGGTGCAGTTTTCTGACTCATTAGAATGCAGTGTAGACGACATACTCACATGCGTATCTTAACAGGTAGTGTCTTGATCGTAGTATAAATCAGTGCCTGTTTCTTTGGCACAATGATACAGTAGTGTCCAGTTGCTGCCCGGGGCGGTGGGGTAGCCTAGTGGTTAAAGCGCTGGCTTGTCACTCCGAAGACCCGGGTTCGATTCCCCACATGGGTGCAATCTGTGAAGCCCATTTCTGGTGTCCCCCACCGTGATGTTGCTGGAATATTGCTTAAAGCGGCGTAAAACCAAACTCAGTCAGTCAGTCCAGTTACTGCCAACATTATTTTTGTGGTGGGTTTATGATTATGAACGGTTATTGATAGATTACTGATTTCCAGTTATCAATACAAGTGAGTGATATCCATCATTAGTGATAGCAATGCTACCAGTAACATAATATCCTTATGACCCTTCCTTTTTTAATAAGAAGATACTAATAACATTTAATACAAACAGCATCAACAGGGTTTTACCTCGACTCACAAACATGGGGACCCCCAGTCATTAGTTTTAGGGGACCTTGTAGGCAGTGTGAGGGTCCTCCATAGTGATTTTGTTTTGTTGTTGCATTATAAATCAAGCATTAACTCGATTATAAGTAGTTTTTCGTTAAAAAAACCTTCTTGCAATACATTTCACAATATATGCTTTTAATTGCAATATATCGCAATATGATAATTCTCTGCAATAGCCACCCCTAGTGTTCATGACTGACGATGTTTTTTAACATCTTATTTTCAGACTGGTAATAGAGACCCTGAAAGAGGTAGATTCTGACAGGAAGTGTTTCCGTATGGTTGGTGGAGTTCTGGTTGAGAGAACCGTAAAGGATGTCCTACCTGCACTCGTCAATAACAAGGAGCAGGTCAGTATTACCAATACTCAGTATTTGAAGTTATCAAAGAAGATATTAATATTATTATCCCCCACCAAGAAGTGGGAGGGGGTATTGTTTTCAGCCTGTCTGTCCGATGATTGGGACAGATTTTCTCAGAAACCATTATAGATAGGGAAACCAAATTTGTCATGTGTTTTCACGACATGAATACCTTGATTGAGTTTAAAAAACAGAAATCTGAACAAATCGTTCTGAGTTATAGCCCTTGTCCTGCATTTCTTGATTTATAGTCAGTTTAACTCAAAAGCGATGAATATGAATTCTAACTCAAAACTAACATACAGAAAATACTCAATGAAACACTGATCATAATCAAAACGCCAGACTATCTCGATTATAAAATAAAGAGCTTAGTTGTTAGTAAACTATCATTAAAATATTGACACAGTTCACTATTTGTTATGAGGGAGGAGTGCAGAGAAAGGGCCAGCCAGGTGTTAGAGAAGCAGGTTTAAGAATCAACAACTTTGATTCGGTAACCTGTGCTGCACGCGCTCTCCATCTTTCTAACACCTGGCTGTCCCTTTCTCTGTACTCTTTTCCTCAGTAACAAAATTGAACTGTGTCAATATTTTAATGATAGTTTGTTAAACAACTTTTTATTTTTAGGACATAAATTCTGCAAACAAATCACAGAGTTGGTCTGATGTTTTGATTATGATCAGCTTTTCATTGAGTATTAAATGTTTATTAGTTTTCGAAAGTTAGATTGCAATTCATCGGTCCGCTTTTGAGCCAAACGCACTATAGTGCATGGTATCCCCAATGGGGACAGATTTTCTCATAAACCATTACCATGATTATAGATAGGAAACCAAATCTGAGATGTGTTTCCGGGACATGAATGCCTTGGTGGAGTTTGAAAACGGAAACCGTGGTTACGATTCTTTACTGAGGAAAATTGCTGAGTGCAGTGTTAGACAACAAATAATTTCACTCTCACTAGATTGATTCATTTTCCGTTGTTTTGTTTTTTTGGTTTTGATTGCATTTTGCATATAAAACAATCATTGTGCCTGTTAGAAGAAAAAAAAAGATGACTACCAATATTTCTGTTGCAGATGAACAACTTGGTAGGCACTTTAACAAAACAGCTGGAGACAAAAGGCACTGATATCAACAAATACAGGGAACAGCATGGCCTGAAGATCCGGGGCGAGGAGTCTAAAGACACGCCAGAAACACAGGACAAGGAAACAAAGTCTGGCGGCGTACTTGTTGCCAAAAACTCATAACATTGACATGTGTTTGTGAATCAGTGTTGACATATTCCACCACTACACAGCAGCAGAGCCCTGGCATGGAGCCATCTTACATTGTTCCAGAAATACATTTGGATTGTGTCTGTTTTGTTCAACGTTCCTGGTAGAACTCGAAATTCTTTAAATTTTTGTGCAAATAACACAGTATCATTATTGCACTGTTTAATGTTTCTGTATGATTTCAGGGGTGTACAGGTAGCCTGGTGGTTAAAGCATTTGCTTGTCATGCTAAATTCCTGGGTTCGATTCCCTACATGGGTACAATGTGTGAAGCCCATTTCCAATGTCCTTGCCGTGATATTGCTAGAATATTGCTAAAATCACCATAAATCATACTCACTACTGTATTATTTCATAATTTATTTAAACAAAATTGCAGTATTTCATTTGAATGCAGTGATGTTTAAAGTGGCACAGATATTTGCCAGGTAGTAATTGGATGGTTGGGACTGATTTAATCTATATTTCCTATCATCCCTAAATTTGGCAAATGGATTCAGGCAGTATCATCCCTAACTCGGCAACCGATTTGGCAAATGGCCAAAGTATTGAAATTAGGTACCCTTTATAATTTTAGGTGTTTTCCTTTGATGCTGTTTTCATCCGGCGTACTAACTCAGCAGTCAATGCCTGATCTGTTATACCCTGGAAGATCCGGGTTAGAATTGGTCTTCAGCAACCCATGGTTTTTGTAAGAGGTGTCTAACAGGATCTGGTAGTCAGGCTCACTGACTTGGTTGATACCTGTCGTCGTATCCCAGTTGCGTAGATTGATGCTCATGCTGTTGATCACAAGATTGTCTGGTCCAGGCTCAACTATTTACAGACTGCCGTCATATAGCTGGAATATTGCTGAGTGTGGCGTTATACAACAATCCAATAAAAACCTAATCTGTTATTTGCTATCCTTAACAAAGGACTGTTATTTATTGTATGTTTTATACTAAATTAATCATAAACTCGTACACATTAATTCTATAAGATTTTTCCAAGTGATTCTGGATGCATTCTCCGGAACAATTTTGAGATGTTCGTGCCAGTGAAAGAACTACTGGACGACCAGGAATGGGGAGTTGTTTCATGTGCTTCATTGTGGGGCTGTATGCACCTCTGCCAGAGAACTTCAATGGAAAAAAGTGAACTTTTTTACAATGTTTTGTGTGCTGTCTTCTTGAAGATGGAGTGCCTCATCTGTGTCGAGGACGTGTTGTTGCCTCTCAACATGCTTCTTTCCACACCATTAACTTTCTTGCTTACAAAAAAAGCCTGAGGCCAATAAGACTGATTTGTTTCCAAACAATGTCAAGAAAAATAAATTACTCGATTGAATGATAATAATATCTTTATTTTTGTTTATTTATGTTTGGTTTGTTGTCAATAATTCTAGAGGGAAGGTCTGAGTATATTTATTACGCTGTGACCTCAGCCACTTGTCTGTTGCCTATGTCATGTAAAATTTTTAAGTCTCATAAGCTTTATTAATAAAGACAGGTACTTCAATTAGCTTTTATGATCTGCTGAAAAGAATGTCAAAAGTGGCAGGTTCGACTGATAAACTAAAATGGTTTAGTTCCCAACTTTAATTGTGTAAAAGTATATCCTTTTTGTCTCTGTCAACACTAAGCATCATACCTCCTTTCATCCTTTGAATTCTAAGCAGACAGATTTGTGTTTAATTAAAAATGAATTTCTATAGTTTCTTGTCATATTTTACTTTTACTCCTAGGGGAACTTATGTGTTATTGACCATAAGATGGTCATCATGAAATACAGGAAAGGTATGTTGGTGAGGTGTGTGGTAGATCCGGCCATAGTTTGGTTCCAGCCATTGTCTTTTTTCCACCAAGATCATTTATTATCCCGCCACATCGTTTAGCTTAAAGCCGGGATATAGTATAAGGCTCCAGTGATATATATTGGTAATTGGAATATCTTAAGAACCGTTCACTAGATTCTTGTCATATTTGGTACCTAGGTTCATCACACTATAAGAAAGGTCCAAGTCAGGTTTGGTGACCTTGACCTTCATTTCAAGGTCACAAGGTGACTTTCACGTTTGACCTGCATGTTAATCTATCTCCAAAACCGTTCACTGATTTTTCATCATATTTAACACCAAGCTTTATCCAGTGAAGGCGCAGGGCCCAGTCGATTTTGGTGACCTTCACTTAATTTTCAAGGTCACAGAGACACTTTGAAGATTTCAGCATATTAACCTGTTAAATTGCTTGTTATGATGAGTCAGCAAGATACCCTCAAGAACCATTCAACTGGATTTTCTTCATATTTGACACCAGGCTTCATCTAGGGAAGGCCCAGGGCCCAGTCAATTTTGGTGATCTTCACATAATTTTTAGGGTCATGAGGACACTATGAAGATTTCAGAATGTTAACCTGAATTGTCAGCAAGATATTTTAAGAACAGTTCACTGGATTTTCTTCATAGACTTTCAAGACCTCCCTTGAATGTTGTTCAATAAGTAATTTCTTAGTACTAGTTTTACATATTTCATACACTATGACATTCATGTCAAGGTCAAAGTCAGTCTTGAAAATATGTGTGTGTTTTGAACAACTAAACATCAAGATATCAAGAGAGGTTGACTGGTCATGTTTTTGTTGACATTTAACTTCATCTTTAACTTTCATTACTTTATAAGTTTGATTTGATAATTTATGCGGGGATTATGTCACCTTAGTGACAATGCTTGTTCAACAGATATTCAGTGTCATTGCATAGAAGTGGATGAAGCTCTGGTAAAATCACAGCATAGACCTGAATGAATTTTGTTTGTTTTCTGTTGGTCGTTAGATCGTTGTTTAACCCTGCACTCAGCAATATTATCTGTTTACATGAGAGACTACTAAAGTACTGTCGGAAATGCTAGAAAAATGCTTTTCAGCCTTAATATCTTTATAAAGCTGATAAATGTACTATGTTGTCAATATATCAACTCGCCTATAGTGTACCTAATTTTTATTTCAATCGATTTAACATTCCCATGCATTTAAAGGGAAGTTTACAGGAGAGAAATTGGTACCAAAACAACAACTCAAGATTTTTTCAGAGTTCAACAACAGAAATCTGAAATAGTCTTTACATTAATGCTAATAATACAGGCGGTGTAAAAATATGAATTAGCGTTTTTTTAAACAAATAAATGTTGAATATTTCTGTTACTTTAATTTATTATCGTTTCTTTATTAAAGAAATATTAATATAAATGTAAAGTCTTGATAAATAAGTTTCCCGTCATGCATGCACATCTTTATCACAGCGTTCACTATGGCCAACTATTTGCAGTCAATTGTTGCAACGGTTTTTTTAGTTTTTTGTGCGTGAAAAAGACAGAGGTAAACCTTTCATTAGTTTAGAAAGGGTTTATTACAGAACTTGTCGAGCTGTTGGTGTGTCTTACCAACACGTTTACAATATTGTAAACAAATCAGATAGACAGGGACCGTCTCAAGAGCAAAACCGGGACGTAAAACGATCCTTGACAACTTTGACAAGGGAGTACTTAGACGGGCGGTCTACAAACTTTAGGAGAAGAATATATATAGTCTAAAAAAGCTACACCAGTGACTTAGTTAAATCTTTGGCCAATGTTCACAACTAGATTAAACTGACCAAATTACGTCCATATTTTTGCAATGAAATATACTGTTGACATGCAAAACATTTATTAAAACGTTGCACATTTCTACAATCAATCGATAAGATAACACAAGTGATAGGATTCTTTCCAATGTACAGTAATTCGTATGTTTATTTCAAAACAAACACACACACGCACACACACATATATATGGTATTGTTGGTGTGCGAAATGTGGATATCACATGATCCCTTGCATAACCAACACGTATACTATACGTACACATATTCAACATTTTGAAGAAAACATCTATTGAGATGCCCCCTCGCCCGAGCGTGTGCTCAGGTGTCAATTTCACCTGTCGATACCGTGCATGCTGATGACGTAACACAGGCAGTTAAAGTTTGTATCAAATAACGTCCTACTACCGCTTATTTTTCTAAGTTTTTGGTACTTTCGTCAGTAAAAACACATTTTAGGGCATGTCTCAAAATTTATTCCCTCCGCCTACATTAGGTAGATGTTTCTTGAAGTGATATTTGTTATTTAAGTAACTGTAATACCTCTGAATTTTAAATATGCGTCAAAAAGCATTTTTCTAGCATTTCCGACAGTACTTTAGACTAACAACTAGTCTCTGAAATGAACATACTTTTCAGAAAAAAAACCAGTTTATAATGAAAATAAAACATAATGAAAAGGAGCCCTGAGACTTCCCTTATAATCAAGACTTGCTTTGGCTTTCTTGAATATATTTGTTTCAGGGTCAGTAGGAGACAACCTGCACAATGACATATAGTATATCTCACAGTACACGAACCACATTATTTTCCCCACTGCCAAGCCGGATCTTCTAACCGGATCTTCACGGCTTCCTACTGTGTGTGCAGCAACCCCCCACTATAGTTTGGCATGAAATGCATGTGGACCCAACACTGCCGCTGTTACAGGTCATTGGCTCCCTCCCTCTGCAAGCATTCTGCGTTCTGCTGTTGATTTTGTTGACAGTTACATAGACAGATTCTTTAATTCAAATGCATAAAATCGGTGATTTACAATGTGATTAAGTTGTCTGACAAAACATCCACTTGCACAGTTTGAGATCGATTGGGTCATTGGATGAAGAGATATTTACAAAAAACCGGGTCCACATGCATTTCATCCCAAACTATAGGTCACACGCCAGTCAAGGTGTAGGTATGGAATCCTAGAATGGACATTGTGGCGTCACCCTGACAAAAAGAAGCAAAAAGTGTCCACATTAACTACAGTGCGACGGTGTCCTTTCGAGCATTCTATCTGGGTGAGGGTCCATTTTGATTTAACCGTCACATCCTGATTGTATCTTGGAGCAGCTGTAGAGAAACACAAGCTTAGCGTTAGGACAGTTCTAGGTGTATGTTAAGGTATATTAAGACCGAGACTGCTTTGTACGACGGCCACAAACAACACCACCACCACTGCTGCTGCTGCTACTACTAAGACTACGATTACAACTACTACTACCACTACTACGACTTGGGCGGTGGGATAGCCCCATGGTTAAAGCGTTCGTTCGTCACGCCACACACCCGGGTTCGATTCCCCACATGGGTACAATGTATGAAGCCCATTTCTGATATTGCTGGAATATTGCTAAAAGTGGCTTAAAACTAAACTCACTCACATCTGTTAGTTCAGTGCAACAAACAATACAGAAATTCTACACACCAAACAAAACTCAATATTAAACTGCCTCGCTGGAGCGAATCTCAGTATATTAGTCACGCTTTTCTAACAGAAATATGTAGTGCATCATTCAGGGCTGTTATCACACGCCGCTTGGCCCTCATCGAGATATACAAAATCGGACAGGTCGATAAACAAATAGTCCACAACACTGGAGCAGCGATGGCGTCCGCAGCCTCGCTTGGTTTTGTCTTCCTGTGTATGTTTGTCGGGGACAGTACAAGCGCAAATCAACCAAATATCATTCTCATAGTGGCTGATGACTTGGGTAAGTAAACTTTCTACAACGGTGTCCATAAACTTATAATATACGCGCGCCTGCCATCAAACAGCTACCTCAACAGCTGAAGGGGCGGTCCAGTTGTCACGTGAATATATTTACCTATCCTCGTTCCGGGCCAGTAGAAATTAACGTAGGCGGCCAGATTGGATATTTTAATAATTGTGTCTGTCGACCGATGCGTGATGTTTGTAAACGCTAATGAAAGGTATATTTGAGAACTATTAATATCACAGATGCTTCATGCTAAATCTAAATGTCTCCCTTGTGATAATCTTTCAATTCGTCACTTTATCAGTTATGATCTTAGATAAAATCAGGTAAGCTGTAACTGTCCATCTCCTTTTGTCTGAGGAGAGCGATAACGGCACGCTTCGTTGAGAAGGGTCGAGGGAATGTCAGGGCAGTAAAAGAACAGCTGTTCTCGATTAGTTCAGCGATACTGCGACGAGAGGTGTTTCACAATATAGCGATATACACATAAACAGGTAAATCATGGTTTTTGCATGGTGGAATCTGCTAATGCCTACAAGGGAAAATGGCTACAATGTTAAATAAACAACTTCTCGCACAGTTTTTGTTTTAAATTTATTGCCTTCAACCTTTCATTAAAGTGGTATGTGCCATTTCATTGTGCATTCATATTTAATTATAAACATTGATCATTTTTCCTATATTGAGAATAAACATTCATTTAATTCATTATTATATGGGGCGGTGGGGTAGCC